AATTAAAAAGCTGTATAAGTGAAACGAAGCTGACCGATACAAACAGGTATATTTACCTGTGCTTTGGCAGCTGTCTGTCTTGTTCATCATGCACACTGAAAGAGCCAGTAAAACAACTAGGATGTTGCTGAATACCAAAGCGCCACTTGAAAGATAGACGACGAAAGGAGAGTCCAGCTCATCTGCAAAGAGATAGAGGGCAGAAACATGTATCTATTAAGCACCAATAAGCTAAAACAACCTCAGCTGAAACAAGTAACCTATCCTTAATGTCCAGCTTGGTCCCGTCTCCAAACAAAATGCGTTGAATAAGTTCTTCACGACTTACGGACTGCCAAAGACAGTACAGACGGATCAGGGAACAAACTTCATGTCCAGGGTTTTCAAGCAGCCTCTCCAGTCTCTCGGTATTTCCCACTCTGTATCCAGTGCATATCATCCGGAGTCGCAAGGTGCGCTTGAGCGATGGCACCAGACGAAGTCAATGCTGAAAAAGTACTGTTATGAGACTGGTAATGACTAGGATGAGGGTGTGCCTTTTGTTCTCTTTGCTATTCGTGATGCAAAGCAGGAGTCCCTAGGGTTTAGCCCAGCAGAACTAGTGTTCGGTCACAATGTGCGTGGCCCCTTGAAAGTGTTGAAAGAGAAGCTAGTGGGTGATAACTCTTGTGAAAATGTGTCTGATTTTGTAACCAGCTGTAGAGAGCGTCTGCACCAGGCTACAAGGCTAGCCAAGGAGTCACATGGAGGCAACAGGTGAGCTCTTCAATGGAGCAATGGATGCCAACATTGGAAACAGGCAGAGCCAGAGGAGTGAGAGTAAGAGGGGGAGGACGAGGAAGGCCAAGGACCGTAATCTCTGATGAGATCTGAGCCACGTTGGTTGATCATGTGGTCAACCATGGTCTAACAATGAGGGAGGCTGGGCAAAGAGTACAGCCAAATCTGAGCAGGTACACTGTAGCATCCATCATCCGGACTTTCCGAAATGAGAATAGGTATGAAATCTACTCTCACTAGATAATTGCAGTACTGCATATCAATACAGTACTCAATGAGTGCAGTAGTACAGTATTGCCTGTGGACTGTTCTGTAGGACTGTAAAAATACTGTAAAGTATGTTTCAAGTATTTAGGAAATGTATACCTACTTTGTATTTACAGTATTTTACTATTTGTTTAGCAGAACTGAAAGACGCGTTCTGTGTCCTGAACAGGAAACTGAAATCATAAACATGGTCCTAGAAAACAACGCCATAACATTACAGCAAATACAAAGAAAAATAATAGAAAACAAAATATTGATAGGGTAAGCTTATCAACACTGGACCATGTCTTGCGCAGAAATCATCTCAGGATGAAGCAGGTCTACAGGGTGCCATTTGAACGCAATTCAGAAAGCGTCAACGAATTACGATATAACTGCAAGTGAGTCCCACAATTGATGCATACTCTCAACATGCAGCAAAGTTGTTTTATTTTTACTGTAACTGTACAGTAAATTCTTCTGTTTTGAATGTAGTGTATGTGCAACTTTGTTGGTTGGGAATGGGATGTACACTGTGTACATTGTTTTTGTGGGAAAACAATATTCTTAAATATTTTACAACACACTTATGTACGTACTGTCTGTAGGAAGTGTAACACTGAACAAAAAAAAGGCCTAAGTCATTATGATGAATGGAGAAGTGTTTTCCATTCATCATAGTGTTTTACAATGAGCACATCAGTGTTCAACTGGTTCTTATAAACGCCTCTTCATATGATGGTTTGTGTTTGTCATTTGAAACCAAAATGTCTGTGCACGTGCCTGCCTCCAGGTAATGTAAAATATTGAAAGTATCTCTCAAGAGCCAACGTGTAGTCTGTCTGTTCATGGCTGTAGAAACACTGCTGCCTTTGTGAAACACACATACCTTTGTCAAGAGGACGAGCTCCGCTTGTAGATAAGCTAATGAAAACACACTTAATTTCAGGTAGTTAAAGTAATGACAACATAATCATCGATATCGTATTCCACTCCTGCTCATAGATCCCCTGAAATGTCACATGTTGTTCCTTAACTCCCGCACCCCAACCCCCCAAAAAGCCCCGTCTGCTCTCAATGGCTCAGGAGGAAAATAGGCGGCGCCTTAAAGGTAATTTTTTAACCATTAGAAAGCGATACTATGATGGGGGGAACGGAGCAGGCTCTGGAGTGTAAAAACGGGTTTTGCATTATTACGTTGTATTTCTGCAAAGGGAATTTCCTTTTGTGAGACAGAAAAAACTACTTCACTCAGTGTTAGTCACAGTTTTGAACTGAAGATCATCATCAGCAGCAGGCTGTTGGGTCACAATAAAAAGCTCCTTCCTGTTCTTGTCACCAGTGGCGGATTTAAGAAATTTGGGGCCCAAGGCAAAGGCAGGCCTGAAGCCCTCTGAAATCAGAAGACAACACACAAAGCAGATCAATTATACAGATATATACATTTTAACAGAATACACATGTATTTTTTTTACCAGCAGGTCGCTGATAGAATACTTAGGATGGATCACATACATCAAATTCATTTTTTTTTTTGCCCAAAGACACTACGAAGGGAGAGACCAGGACTATTAAATATAATAGTCAAGACATGTAAAGCATTTATTATGTTTAGTGTAGAATTGTAATTTGTGTGATGTTAGATATTAGTTATTACATTAGCATGTTAGATGAAGTGAATGCAATATGAATCAAACACAATGTATAGTCATGTAAATCATATAAACACTGTACACATTAACATTCAGTCACAATGTGATGTTAAAACCTGGGGACGGATGCTAATTGCCGTCCTTTATGGATTTCTCTCAGTCTTCTCCCCAAAGAGGGTCTCTTGGGAGTTTTTTCTCCTGTCAGTTAGTTGATGAGCAACTGGATGAAAGATAGCCGATTGAGGCAAATGTCTTGAGTGTTGGACCACATGAACTGTATTAAATCTTATGATGTAGTGTGATGAACTGTGATCATTTATGGTGTGTTGTAATTAAAGTGTACTTGTTTTAAGATGAAGACAAACTATGCATGGTTTGTTATATTCACTCATTGAGGCATAAAGCCAAATCTATCTACACTGAATATGAGGGACAGAGAAGATCTCCAACACAGAATGATGCAAAACCTCTTTCTTGACGTTCAGGTGACGACAATTTTTGATCAGTTGCATGAGCTGAAGTGAGAAGAGATACAATTATTTTTCATATACTTTAAATACATATACAAAACCAGTCATGTATGTATATTGTATGTGTATATATAGTTTCATGAAAAGTTACTTAACCTTAACAAAGAACTTACTTTTATATCAAGATAATTGTTTCAATGAAAGTTAAAAACAAAATCACAACACAACTTGCCCTGACTTTGGTTGAAAAGTTGAGTGAAAAGTAGCTTGCGAGCCGAAACAGTGTGGGGACCCCTGTGTTAGACCTTTTCAACCACAACGTTACTGCAGGCAGCAGCGCCCGCTTGAAAATGACTGTCGGGGGGCACAGTCATTTTCAAGCGGTCGCTGCAGATGGGGGTGGCGCACAGCCGGTTAACGGGGGGGCGTTTTCCATACACTCAGTTTTGTTGCAGCGTGCACAATATGCTGCGTGCAAAGAATATTCTGTGGTTTCTTGGTCCCCACTGTGTACGTGATGTCAGCGATGAAGGGCTGGTTAGAATTGTGGAAACTTTCAGAGCATATAAACCCCCCCAACACCGCAGACATTTGAGTGAACACAACGTTTATGGCTCTACAACACTTCACTATAATATTTGAGTTGTTCAGTTGAGATAATGTTATAAAACGGGTAGTGTAAGAATATGTGTTCAAGATTTGGAGCCTGGTCGGGGTTATCAAAAATCTCTCGTTCTGGGAAATTTATTTGTCAGATCACAGGTCAAGTATCAGCGCTGCGTTTGCAAAGGCAGGAGCAGTTCAGGCAGCACACAGGCCGGAAGAACAACTCCGTAACATCAGCAAGAACATCATGTTTTATAACCCTTGGAAGACAGAGAAGGAAAGATTTCTATTGGCCCTAAACTGGCGTGGAGGAGGACCTTCCACCTCCCACATCTAAAGATCCGGTCACATCCAATGTCCAGACTCCTGACTTAACGTAAACATCAGCGAACAGAGTGTGTATGTTGAATAGTGTTGGTGTGTCTCTAACCCCCCTTTGGCTGGTAAATCTGGTAGTTGACCCGCAGACCTTGCATTCCTCAGCCAGGACATAAACTGACTCCCCATCTTGTCAGACTCGTGTCTGCCTGCTTGGCACATCCTGCTTCCCCCCTTACCTAACTCTTAAATTAAGACAAGACAGCGAACCCCCAACTAAGCCCATGAAAAGAACTTTTGATTATCAGTAGATGAAATCAAGCATTCTGATTGGTTGGGAATGACGGGGTGTACCGCATTGACACCTAATGTACTGTACACCTGTTTATGTCGTCCTGAGCGTTCGATGTCACTCAAAATAACAGAGATTGCGGCGTTATTTGTCATTTCATCTTTTTTGCCCTGTGGCGATTGCCGAAAAAAATGAAGACCAGAAACGCAGCTAATGACCAGTTTAGGGCAATGCTGGCTTCTAGAGTTGATTTAGGGCACCTTTTAGACAAAGTAGACGATTAACGTAATAAGAAATCATAATGAATGAGAAGGTGCGAGATCTAGCTAGGAGACCTGGGATGTTTTCAGACGACGCATAAATGAATGTCCATCTCGTAGCGAATCATCAACAAACCTTTGGTGCGAGGCTAACAAATGTGATGTTTGTCTGTTAGCATAGCAAAAGAACGAGGACTATTTGTGACTGGAGAACAAGGATTAGGACCCAAAATGCAATGACAGGAGCCAGTATAGATTTACCAAATTTATTGGTAAAAGTTATCATTTCACACTTGAAACAATTGTTGGTATTTCATATTGACTCATAACATCCAAAGGGACTTTTACATCACAATAAAACATCAGCTGATGAGGAATGTTTGTGTGTGTGTGTGTGTGTGTGTGGTTTTTCAACTACCATCATGATTTAAGTTTTGACGAACATAAGCCCTTCAAATAGAGATCCAATGAATTAACTTAATGACTCAGTGTATCTTAAAGCCAAAGGCATGTTGACTCAGTGTTGATGAGGGTCTTGCATCTTATTTTAGTCCTGTAACTGTTCTCTACGTCACCCCTTCCTTAGTTTTTTTCCTTTCCTTCATAAAACAGCCTGGATATATAGTTATCTCTCACATACAAGCACGAAAATACAATAATTTAGACTTTGATGGAAATGTAACTTTTCCCCTCTGAATACAGTTAAATCCGTCTGAGGTGATTCCAGTTCAAAGTAACATGTCAAGAGAAAGTGATAAAATGACCTCAGCGTCTCATAGGCCTGCTTCGTACCACTTTGAAGCACGTACACTCCTACTGCTTTATAGTTGAGTATGTGCATTCAAACTCTAGGTTGTTTCTTTGTCTCACCGCCGCATATTGGATGTTTGATTCATTTTGTTCACCCTAACAAAGAGAAAGAGAAAAAACACATTATTTTACTTTATAGACAATAAAACAGTGTCCTGAATAACTACTGTGCCTGATTGTTTGAATGATAGAACAACAGTAATCTTACCTCTGCATTTGGTGTGGAGGGAGCTGAACATCTTGCATGAGACTCTGAGGAAGAAAGAAAAGTTCTGACACTATAAGAACGTGTGAAATGAGCGCACACTGTCAGACACACACAATAGTTGTTACAATACCTGTAATTTCACAGCGGTTTTTCTTGTTCATCATGCAAAGTAAGAAAACCAGAAGGGCATTAAGGATGATGGTAAAAGTTAGAGCTCCACTCAAGAAATACACCAAGATACGAGAGTCCTTCTCATCTGTAGAGAAACAAAAACAGGAGACAGCACACAGCTTAAATCTTAAGGGGAGATACAACAGTTGAATAAAAATAACTCAAAATGATTCTTTCTTAGGTGATTATTACAATAACACAATATAATATATATGTAGAGAAATGAATAACAAAACCTCTGATCAAAAATGACCTGTTAAGTCCCGCTTGGTCCCGTCTCCAAACAGAATATGTCCAAACGAGGCAACAGCACAGTAGTAGGTTCCAGCATGAGACAGATTCAGGCTCTCCATCGGCAGGTTGTAGTCACAGGTGTGTGTTTGTGTGTTGGGTTTCCTCTCACACTGATCAGTGCTGCCTCCATCAGTGTAAATGAGTGCTGGATGAGATTCTTCAGAGTCTTTGAACCAGTAAACACTGTGTTGTCCATCACAGGTCCCAGTTTGTACTGTACAGTTCAGAGTCACAGAGCCTCCTGGCTGGATGGTCTCTGAATGTGACTGATGGATTAAAGTTGGAATGTTAGTACTAGAACCCTGTACACTGACAGTAGTTGTAGCAGTAAAATCACATTTCTGTGTATTACTGCTCACACAGTAGTAAGTAGCAGAGTCATTCATTTGCAGATCTTTTATCGTCAAGTGATTCCGATCATTTTCATTATCCAATGTGATTCGTGGATTCTTGAATTCAGCATTAAAAGTCACAGTTTTGAACCTGTAGGAGGATGAGATGAGCCTTGGTTCCTGTCCCAGAGTGTGTTTAAACCAGTGAACCTTTGCTGCTGAACCAGCTTCATGAAAACATTTCAACGTCAAGTTTCCCCCAGTTTCAACTGATAGAAAACTATTCCCTTGATAAACAGATGAGGAGGAATCCAGGTCGGTCGTCTGAACTGAAGCGATACAAGAGAAGAAGCGATTACACTTCATGATACTATGAATCAACACATCTGAAGCAATGCCATCAGGAGTGGCCACACACTTTAAAAGATTCAAACTGAAGTCACTAAAACACAACTCACCTATTTTCCCCAAGAACAAACATGTCAGATAGAAGATAAACTTTGCAGATGTCATCGTGTTGAAATGATTGTGTTGAATGAGAACAATCTTCATCCCTTCTACATTTTTCACTCACAAGACTGTGTTTGATTGGCCAACAGAAAGTGACAGTACATCCTACTCAGGAAACACCATCACATGCTCACTGCCTCCTATTAAAATGTGTATATTGCGCAACTGATTCACATACTTCGATTTAATTATATTAAATTAACGGTTTAAATCAGTGGAAAATATTTGTATCAAATATAAACACATATATTCAGTATCCTCTCTTGATATAATGAACACAAGTACAGATAGCTCTCTTTTCAAGTTCTGTATGGAAACATAACATTGTTTTCATGATTTTATATAATATATATATATATATATATAATTTCTCTCACACTGAAACTCACCCATTTTCGACAAGAACAACCATGTCACATAGGGTGCAAACCTTGGAGATGTGATCTTGTTCAAATTCTTGTGTTGAAATAAGAGAATCTTAATACTTTTGTTACGAGTGAGGAAATGTCCTTCCTAAGATATAGGTTCAGGCCCCTCCTACTTCCTGGCTTACCGATGTAGTATGGGTATAAAGACTGCACATAATGCAGGTGGAGAGAAAACACAAAGTCCAGGCTGGCATTAGAAGCACAGCTCCTTTCTTTTTTATGTTTTGTTCCTGTTTTGTGTTTTTTCCAGTAAGATTACTTTTTGTTGGAAGTTTTCCTTAACCAAAATTGTGATATTTATTTATTTTTTGTTCTTTCCCCGAGAAGATTATTTTGCATAAAATAGTATTTGCCAAATCTGGGTCTTTGTTTCTGTTTAGGAGTGGAGTCCTTGGGGCTTGCAGAAGCGTGGCTACCCGGACGGTGGTGGGGCTGGTGACTGGGCCTCTCACTTGCTCCTCATATTTTTTAGTTGTGCGTTTGACAGTATTTTCTCTTGTTTCACACGTTTTCTCAGCTGCATGCTTTTAGGCTTTGATTAATTTTGTTTGGCGTGTGTGGAGCACTGGAGCCAGTGGTTGTGTACCAGAGCCTGTTTCCCCCCTCCGTTCTTGGCCCGCTACAGCCTAACTACCAATAGAACAGAATTTGTTTTATTAAAACCTTTTGTTGTTTTACTGCATTCCCAGAGCTGACGGGAATCGCTTTAATAAATTGTTTTGCATCATTGACATTTTAAGAACGATGTTCAAACACTTTGCCTTGGTCTGCCTTAATCCTTTAATTAAAACACTGTTAGTTTTAATGCACAATATGGTTATAGACAAGACGTAATTGTTTAATTTAAAAATAAAGTTATGAATTTAAACTCTGTTCACAAAAAACGTAACATAACCGGTAAACAAACACCATCAGATTAAAGGTTAACACTCAGCCTAGGTATACTATTCTATCTCATGTATCTTATAACCACTTCGGAAAAGTGGATAGAAGCGGAGCATTTCACAGAAGTCTGGCCGAGAACAGGCTGCTTTCTGCGGCTTGAGATGACGCTGACCGCCCGGTGCTGGAGGAGTCAGATGGTCCCGTTAACTAGACCTCACATCTCCCACGTCCTCGGAGCAAAATGTTACAACGGCTGAATGTTGATAAACCGACCGCAGAAATGTTGCTTAAACAAGTAACTTCTCGTCTGTAAAACTACAGGAAATGATACAGGGCTCTGAAGTGTCACGCCGTAGCATCCCCCCCCCTCCCCTCCTTCATTTACTTTTATTTACAACACCTAAATATAATTGAACAACATAACACCGGTAACACAATGGTGAAACACTAGGAGGACACTTTTAAGACACCCGTAAAACATCACCATCTCTCCGTGACTTTCTTCTGCGGCTCTCCTGCTGCGGTCACTTCCCCCCCCTCATCACAGGCTCTTCAGCCGCTGACTGAATCGCACCAAGCCCGCTTGGTCATCTAAAACATTCTTTGAAATAGCGTACTTGTATCACTACGCTATTATATTGTCATTATGTTATCAGTGGCATAAAATGGTGTGAAAATTACAATAATATTGCATATCGCAATAAATGTTGGGTGCAATAATCGCACAACAAAAATTGGATATTGTGACAGCCCTAGTTGGAGCACTCGCCTTACGAGGCACAGCAGCTCCCCAGCAGACGAACAAGAAGCCACACTGGCTAAACGTCGTGGTCCCAGCACTAGGCCTCCCCATCTCCATGCGTGAGATGGTAAGGCTCGCGCTTTTCTGGTGTCTGACGTGGAAGCGCGTATAGCTCTGCAGTTACTGTCCTCAGTGATTTAGTCTCACAGGAGCCTCGCAGATCCAAGAGTGCTCAATGAAAATAATAATTAAACTGAACAATCCGTGTCGCTTCTTTCTACGTCCGAGACTCACGGGGTAACGCAGAACACCTTACAAAGTTTTATTTTGAAAATAGTTCAGATTATCTCCTAATTACGTGAGCTTGTCCCTCTTGTAGTGATGGGAAGTTCGGATGATTTTACCGACTCGGTTCTTTGAATCTTGTTCAGTAAAATGAACAAATCTTTTTTAGTCCTGTAACTGTTCTCTACGTCATCCCTTCCTTAGTTTTTTTCCTTTCCTTCATAAAACAGCCTATATATATAGTTATCTCTCACATACAAGCACGAAAATACAATAATTTAGACTTTGATGGAAATGTAACTTTTCCCCTCTGAATACAGTTAAATCAGTCTGAGGTGATTCCAGTTCGAAGTAACATGTCACAAGAAAGAGAAAGTGATAAAATGACCTCAGCGTCTCATAGGCCTGCTTCGTACCACTTTGAAGCACGTACACTCCTACTGCTTTATAGTTGAGTGTGCATTCAGTCTCAAGGTTGTTTCTTTGTCTCACCGCCGCATATTGGATGTTTGATTCATTTTGTTCACCCTAACAAAGAGAAAGAGAAAAAACACATTATTTTACTTTATAGACAATAAAACAGTGTCCTGAATAACTACTGTGCCTGATTGTTTGAACGATAGAACAACAGTAATCTTACCTCTGCATTTGGTGTGGAGGGAGCTGAACATCTTGCATGAGACTCTGAAGGAGAAAGAAAAGTTCTGACACTATAAGAACGTGTGAAATGAGCGAACACTGCCAGCCACACACAATAGTTGTTACAATACCTGTAACTTCACAGCGGTTTCTCTTGTTCATCATGCAAAATAAGAAAACCGGGACATTAAGGATGATGGTATAAGTTAGAGCTCCACTTAAGAAATACACCAAGATACGAGAGTCCTCATACGTAGTGAAACAAAAACAGGAGACAGTACACAGCTTAAGTCTTAAGGGCGGACACAACAGTTCAAAATCAAAATAATTCTTACCGAGGTGATTATTACAATAAGACAATACAAAATATATGTAGAGGAATTAATAACAAAACCTCTCATTGAAATGACTTACCTTTTAAAGTCCAGTTTAGTCTTAGTTTGATAATAATCAAAAGAGTTGTCCAAGAGCCAAGGACCACTTGTGGAGAGCTTCAAAAAGACCTGCAATTAGCAGGTACTGTTGTCTCAAAGAAAACAGTAAGTAATGCACTCCACCGCCATGGCATGTATGCACGCTCACCACCCTCCACTGCAGAAAAAAAAGGCATGTTGAAGCACGATTAAAGTTAGCTGCACAACATTTGAAAAAGCCAGTGAAATACTGGGAGAATGTAGTGTGGTCAGATGAGAGCGACATTTAACTGTTTTGATGCCATAATACACACCATGTTTGGAGGAGAAATGGCACTGCACATCACCCTAAAAACACCATACCAACAGTGAAGTTTGGATGTGGGAACATCATGGTGTGGGGCTGCTTTTCAGCAAACGGTACTGGGAAACTTCACATAATTGAAGGATGAAAGGGCAAATTTACAGAGACATTCTTGACAGAAATCTGCTGCTATCTACAAGGATGATGAAGATGAAACAAGGGTGGACATTTCAGCAAGAAAATGATCCCAAACACACAGTCAAGGAAACTGTCAACTGGTTTCAAAGAAAGAAAATATAGCTGCTAGAATGGCCCAGCCAATCACCTGACATAAATCCCATTGAAAATCTATGGAAATAACTGAAGATCAAGATTCATAGAAGAGGCCCACGGAACCTTCAAGATTTGAAGACTGTGTGGAAGAATGGGCCAAAATCACACCATGGCAATGCAAGTGACTAGTTTCTCCATACAGGAGGCGTCTTGAAGCTGTCATTACCAACAAAGGCTTTTGTACAAAGTATTGAATAAATATCAGTAAGCGTGTTCATGTCATGACCCCAGCTCCCTGAGTAGGGTATCCTGCTTGTCTGTTGTTTTGTTCCGGTTGCCGAGCAACGACAAGATCACCAGCGCCGGCTCCCACCTTTGCCCAATCGACACACCTGGCCCTGATCATCATTACCACAGCATTTAAGCAGAGACCTGACATCCAGTCCCTGCCGGATCGTTCGCCATACCAGTATGTGTGCGCGCGTATCAAGCCGCAACAGTGAATTGATCTCTTACTCTTTGTAGTTGTTTGTGTACTGACCCATTGTTCTTCTCCGTCTCTAGTCATTCACCCTGGATTCCCGTCACTCCCGCCTGGCAACCTGAGCCTTTTCCCCTCACCAAGACATTACCAGTATTCACCTGTCTGCACGTTGGCAATACCACTTCCCCTTGTCAATAAATATTCACCTGGTCAACATCTATGTCTGCTTTTGGGTTCCCACTGGAGAAGTTGTGACAGTTCAATACTTTTTCCCTGTGTCATTTCCCATTATTACGCATAACTTTATTTCTGGACCTCTTTGTTGGTTTCTTTGTATGTATGTATTACTTGGGTTGTTACCAACATCTGGTGAAGATTTCATGTCAGTAGCGCCTTTTGAAATATATTTGCTGAGCAAAATGGTGACGTGTCCGATACTTATTTCACCCGCTGTATATGATCTTATTCATGTTCAACTTGAATTGTATTGTATCAAATTCTTCATTTCGGTTCAAAAGAGAAAAGCTTGTTGTATTTCCAGTTTTACTGCTTCATGCTGTAATAAATATATTCACTCGAGGTCTCATGCGTCTGTCTTCTTGATCCGTTGTGCTGGTGGACACTTAAAGCCGCGTAGTACAGGATTTCTTTGTTTTGTTAAACCTGGTAATAAATCACATATTAGTTGATAATTATTACATGATGTTCTACCCTGTGAGTTCCTGGTTCCCGTCTGTGTTTTTGCCCCTTGGCTTGTTAATTTTTGATTTCCTGCTTGAGATTCTTAAAAACAAAAAAAGCTCTTGAATTAAAAAAGCTGCATTAAGTGAAACCAAGCTGCAAGATTCAAACAGCAATAGTTATCTGTGCTTTGGCAGCTGTCTGTCTTGTTCATCATGCACACTGAAAGAGCCAGTAAAACAACTAGGATGTTGCTGAATACCAAAGCGCCACTTGAAAGATAGACGAAGAAAGGAGAGTCCAGCTCATCTGCAAAGAGTTAGAGGACAGAAACATGTCTCTTTTAACCACCAATCAGCTAAAACAACCTCAGTAACCAGTAACTTATCCTTAATGTCCAGCTTGGTCCCGTTTCCAAACATAATGTGTCCACACGAGGCAACAGCACAGTAGTAGGTTCCAGCATGAGACAGATTCAGGCTCTCCATCGGCAGGTTGTAGTCACAGGTGTGTGTTTGTGTGTTGGCTTTCCTCTCACACTGATCAGTGCTGCCTCCATCAGTGTAAATGAGTGCTGGATGAGATTCTTCAGAGTCTTTGAACCAGTAAACACTGTGTTGTCCATCACAGGTCCCAGTTTGTACTGTACAGTTCAGAGTCACAGAGCCTCCTGGCTGGATGGTCTCTGAATGTGACTGATGGATTAAAGTTGGGATGTTTGAACTAGAACCCTGTACACTGACAGTAGTTGTAGCCAAGAATTCCAATTCGTATTCATTACCGCTTATGCAATTGTAAGTAGCAGAGTCATTAATTTCCAGATCTGTTATCGTCAAATGATTCCGACCATTTTCATTAACCACTTTGAAGCGAGGATTCTTGAATTCAGCATAAAATGTAGGTATTGTGTACCTGTAGGAGGTTGAGATAAGCCTCGGTTTCTGTCCCAGAGTGTGTTTAAACCAGTAAAGGGTTCCTGGTGAACCGGCTTCATGAAAACATTTCAACGTCAAGTTCCCCCCAGTTTCAACTGATAGAAAACTATTCCCTTGATGAACAGATGAGGAGGAATCCAGGTCGGTCGTCTGAACTGAAGCGATACAAGAGAAGAAGACATTACACTTCATGATACTATGAATCAACACATCTGAAGCAATGCCATCAGGAGTGGCCACACACTTTAAAAGATTCAAACTGAAGTCACTAAAACACAACTCACCCATTTTCCCCAAGAACAAACATATCAGGTAGAAGATAAACTTTGCAGATGTCATCGTGTTGAAATTATTGTGTTGAATGAGAACAATCTTCATCCCTTCTACATTTTTCACTCACAAGACTGTGTTTGATTGGCCAAGAAAAGGTGGCAGTACATCCTACTCAGGAAACACCATCACATGCTCACTGCCACCTATTGAGTCAAATATGTTTATTGCGCGACTTGTTCACATAATTAGATATGTATGATTAAAACAAATTAAATAAGGTGAAAGTACTTCGTATTTCTATCGAATATATAAGTAGTTTTGTCAAAGCATCTTTTTATGGTATAATTATATCAAGTACATTCAGCTGCATATGGAGACATAACAACATACTAAATAAAAAATAACATTCAATAACCTTACTTTATTATATTGACATGTAAATGTATTAATCACTGTTCTTTATCTGTATATTCATTACCATGTAATGCCATCTCTTTTCCTCCTTAACATATGCGGACACTCGTTGTCTGGTGTTTTCATGGTTTTGCACTTGGCGGCTCAGTTTACAGCAGTTGCACAAGTTTAAGGGGGGAAAATATGGTAGTCTCAAGCTAATGTAAACACTTTGAAAGCATCTCTCTTGAGTCAATGTTTAGTTGGTCTGTTCTGTGCTACTATAGAAACATGGCTGTGAAACACAAAAAACGCTGTGATTAGGACCAGCTCCCTTTGTAGATTTGAAACACTCATTCTAAGCTAATGAAAAGATTCTTATGTTCAGGTGATTAAACTAATGACAATATTTCTTTTAAGCTGTCGAAGGATATGATCTGATGGGGGGAATCCAGCAGTTCCTTTCACCTGCTGTAGGTTGAGGGTAAACAAACGGGTTTTGCTTGGTTTTAATGCTGCCTTGCTGTAAAGTAAATTTCCTCTTGTGAGACTGAAAAGACCACTTCACTATTCCAGCGTAAGTCAGTGTTTTGACCTAAATTCATCAGCAACGGCAGCGGTCACAAAAAAAGCTCCTTCCTGTTCCTTTCACCACTTGTTGGGTGGGGTCAACCGACCTCTCTGCTGAACACGCGTAAAGATCCCCTGAGATGAAGACTCACACTAAAAAATCTTCTACTTCCAAGTATTGCAAATTGTGATTCAATTTATTTATTATCATTGATGACATCAATTTCACATACAAAAAACATTTGATTTGGTTATAGAAAACAACGAAGTTGAATACAAAACATATCAGATGACCTGGATGCTGTTGGATCTGAGCGTTTAAATATAATGGTTAAAATATGGAAAGCATTTAATGATACAAGTTATAGATAATTTGAAGATAACTGCTTCTGACTCCTCAGAGAAGACATACGTATCATATATATGCACATTATGGAAGAAATAGACAGATTTGACTGTCTGCAGAGCACATAGAAGATATAGAATCTTAGTTATATTCAACTTGTATCAAAATCTTCATTACATTTCAAAAGAGAAAACCTTGTCATATGTCGAGTTCTACTGCTTCACGCTGTAGTAAACACATTCACTCCAGGTCTGATCCGTCTGTCTTCTTGATCCGTTGTGCAGGTGGACACTTAAAGCCGCGTAATACAGGATTTCTTTGTTTTGGTAAACCTGGTAATGAATCACATATTAGTTAATCATTATTACTTGAAACAATATACAGGAAAAAAATTGGATTGAACAAATTAAAATAAAAACTGTCTAAATTGAAAGGCAGCAGTTAAATAGTTTTTATTCACCTTTGCATTTGCCGTGGAGGGTGCAGGATATGTTGAAATATCTTGAAATTCTTTAAAACAGAAAACACTCTTTAATTCAAAAAGCTGCATTAAGTGAAACCCAGCTGCCAGATACAAACAGCTATGGTTACCTGTGCTTTGGAAGCTGTCTGTCTTGTTCATCATGCACACTGAAAGAGCCAGTAAAACAACTAGGATGTTGCTGAATACCAAAGCGCCACTTGAAAAATAGACGAAGAAAGGAGAGTCCACCTCATCTGCAAAGAGATAGAGGGGCAGAAACATGTTTCTTTTAAGCACCAATAAGATAAAACAACCTCCGCTGAAACAAGTAACTTACCCTCAAAGTCCAGCTTGGTCCCGTCTCCAAACAGAATGTGTCCACACGAGGCAACAGCACAGTAGTAGGTTCCAGCATGAGACAGATTCAGGCTCTCCATCGGCAGGTTGTAGTCACAGGTGTGTGTTTGTGTGTTGGGTTTCCTCTCACACTGATCAGTGCTGCCTCTATCAGTGTAAATGAGTGCTGGATGAGATTCTTCAGAGTCTTTGAACCAGTAAACACTGTGTTGTCCATCACAGGTCCCAGTTTGTACTGTACAGTTCAGAGTCACAGAGCCTCCTGGCTGGATGGTCTCTGATGGTGACTGATGGAGCAAAGCTGGGATGTTTGAACTAGAACCCTGTACACTGACAGTAGTTGTAGCTAAAAAATACATTTTGTATGCATTACCGCTTATACAATTGTAAGTAGCTGAGTCATTAATTTGCAGATCTTTTATCGTCAAGTGATTCCGATCATTTTCAGTATCCACTGTGAAACGTGGATTCTTGAATTCAGCATAAAATGTAGGTATTGTGTACCTGTAGGAGGACGAGATGAGCCTCGGTTTCTGTCCCAGAGTGTTTTTAAACCAGTAAAGCTTGGCTGCTGTACCGGCTTCATAAAAACATGTCAACGTCAAGTTTCGCCCAGTTTGAACTGATAGAAAACTATTCCCTTGATGAACAGATGAGGAGGAATCCAGGTCGGTCGTCTGAACTGAAGCGATACAAGAGAAGAAGCGATTACACTTCATGATACTATGAATCAACACATCTGAAGCAATGCCATCAGGAGTGGCCACACACTTTAAATGATTCAAACTGAAGTCACTAAAACACAACTCACCCATTTTCCCCAAAGACAAACATGTCAGATAGAAGATAAACTCTGCAGATGTCATCGTGTTGAAATGATTGTGTTGAATGAGAACAATCTTCATCCCTTCTACATTTTTCACTCACAAGACTGTGTTTGATTGGCCAAGAAAAAGTGGCAGTACATCCTACTCAGGAAACACCATCACATGCTCACTGCCTCCTATTGAGTCAAATATGTTTATTGTGCATCTTGTTCACATTATTAGATGTGTATGATTAAAACAAATGAAATAAGGTAAAAGTAACTCATATTTGTATCAAATATATGAGTAGTTTCCTCAATGCATCTTTATTTGATATTCTATTATTGATATAATCAAGTACACTGAGCCCTCTTTTCAAGCTGCAGTATAGAGACATGTGGCAACAATGTGGCAAATAAACAATAACTTTCAATAACCGTACCTTATTATTTTGACATTTAAATGTATTAATTCCACTTCTCTATAAGTTTATTCATTAGCATGTAGTGCTACCAAAACTTTATAAACTGTTATGGACTAATTACTGGTAACTTAAATGAGACGCACATTGTTCACTTTCTTACTCATTCTTATATTTGGTTTGATACATGAACACGAATCCCCCCCTGACTGTAGTTGACCCCCCCCAACTATTCCCCTCTAAAATGTTGCATTTTATCCCCCATACACCTCATTCTTCTCTTTCCAGGGCTGTGGTGCATTGAACTTCAGAGGAAGTATCGGGGTAGTACTGTCTTTTTTTCATCCTTAACATATAGCGGTACATAATTCACACGTTGTCTGGTGTTTCCACGCTTTTGTACTACGGTGGCCTCCAGGCAGGGACGTGCACAGATAGACCCCTTGTGGTGCTCAAGCACCTGCCCTTTTGCCCTGGACAAGAAAAGTGCCCCTTTTTTCTGGAGCCCAATTCTTTTCTTCATTCATCAATATTTAAGAATAAAAAAAAATTCCCTCCAGATGTGTTTTGATATTGGACGGAGCATTTATTTGAATTCTGGTGAGAATTTCACCCTGACATGCTCCGTGGCGCTCACAAGCCCCCGCCGCCCCCCCCACCCCCCCCATCCTCCTCCTCCTCCTTGTGCAGTGCTGAGCGTCAAACGGCTGCAGCTTCGGACAAACAGACTGTTGACTTTAAAGCTGCTTATGCTTCAACTCTGTCAGAAAACAGTAAAAAAAAAAACATGTGTGTGTTGTCAGCTTTATAGATATTATGTAAGTCACTCTTTTATATGCACAACATTGATTTATCTTATTTAAACAATTGAAACAATTTGCAGCATAATGCCAAGAAAAGCAGAGGACAAAGACCTGCTGCAGCGTAACCATTCGTTGTCATTTCAGTTTTTAGCTCGGAAAAAAGACCGTAAACGTCGCAAATGCTCAGTTTCCGACAATGCGAGCTACCGCTTTTGGACACCTTTTAGCTAAACAGGACAATTCAGGTGGACGTCATGAGCGATAGGAAGGAATGAGATGGTGCGACATCTTGCAAGGAGACTTGGGATGTTTTCAGACAACGCACAAATGAATCTCCTACAAACTTCATAATCAACAAACTTCTCGTGCTAGGCCAACAAATGTGATGTTTACAATGCTGTGTGGCTGTTGCATTGCAGTATTTTCGAGAGACTACGGAAATAAATGTCATATACAAAGTATTTTGGGTCCAACTATTTTCTGCTGAAAGGCAGCTTTTACAGTTTTTCTCGATTGTTTACACACATTTTCTGAAAGAATGCCTCATATTCTCAGAACTCTACACACAAATTTAAAAAAAACACACACACAATGGGAAAAACCCCTCAATTCTCCTGCAAAATGAAGCAACTCATCCATCTCACAAGCAATGTTTTCCCAGGCCAAGCAGCGGGGGAAATATCGCCTAGCATGGCGATTCCAGCTATGAAAAGCATCCGCTGCTATATCTCCACATGCGTCCTCCATAGCTTGGAGAAGAGGTATATGCGTTTGTGGATTTCGGTCATACACTTTCCATCTCCAGGCAGAAAAAAATTCCTCAACAGGATTAAGGAATGGAGAATATGGAGGGAGATGAACAACTAAAACGCGTGGGTGGGCAGTGAACCAGTGACAAACCAGAGCAGCCCTGTGGAAACTTACGTTGTCCCAAATGACAACGTACCTGAGCTGCTCTGGGCCATCTACTTGATCTGGTGGAATGAGTGGGTTGTGTAGGGCATCCAGGAATGTGATCAGATGGGCGGTGTTGTAGGGGCCAAGAGTAGTATGGTGATGGATGACGCCGTGGTGGGTAATCGCTGCACACATTGTGATGTTCCCTCCGCGCTGGCCAGGGACTTCAACAATGGCACGCTGGCCGATGATATTCCTTCCCCTCTTTCGTCTTTTTGTGAGGTTGAACCCAACCTCATCAATGAAGATGAACTGGTGCTCCACTGCAGCCACCTCTAGCTCAAGGACTCTCTGAAACACACATGACAATATCAGAAATAGACACGGAGTGGTCACTATTGTGAAGCACAATCATTATGATTACAATATTGAAATATGTATAATTTACTGTATACAGTGTTGAGAGTATGCATCAATTGTGGGACTCACTTGCACATAGTTATATCGCAATTCTTTGACTCTTTCTGAATTGCGTTCAAATGGCACCCTGTAGACCTGCTTCATCCTGAGATGATTTATGCGCAAGACACGGTCCAGTGTTGATAAGCTTACCCTATCAATATTTTGAAATATGTCATTGTTTTCTATTATTTTTCTTTGTATTTGCTGTAATGTTTTCTAGGACCATGTTTATGATTTCAGTTTCCTGTTCAGGAGACAGAACACGTTCCCGACCACCTTGTGTTGGTAATCTTTCAGTTCTGCCAAACAAATAGTAAAATACTGTAAATACAAAGTAGGTATACATTTCCTAAATATTTGAAACATACTTTACAGTATTTTTACAGTCCTATAGAACAGTCCACAGGCAATACTGTACTACTGTACTCATTGAGTACTGTATTGATATGCAGTACTGCAATTCTCTAGTGAGAGTAGATTTCTTACCTATTCTCATTTCGGAAAGTCCGGATGATGGATGATACAGTGTACCTGCTCAGATTTGTCTGTACTCGCCCAGCCTCCCTCATTGTTAGACCATGGTTGACCACATGATCAACCAACGTGGCTCAGATCTCATCAGAGATTACGGTCCTTGGCCTTCCTCGTCGTCGTCGGCGGCATCCATTGCTCCATTGAAGAGCCCACCTGTTGCCCTTTTATGCTAAAGCTCTGATTGCTAATTGTAAAACTGTGTGACGAGTGTTTGCCCTTGTGATGAGTCAGTGTGCATATTTGAATGGCAGTGTGTTCCTTGTGAAAAGAAGATATTTTCTGCATGAAAAGTGTGCCAAAAGCAGAGAATTGTGTGTAGTGTTTTGAAAAAAGTGTGTTTTAGAACTGCAATTTGAGTGTAAAGCAGGAATTGTGCTTGTAGTTTAGCGGAATTGGTTCAAGGGGTTGGTGAATGAGTTACATGTTGTGGTCATTGTGTCTCAAGTACCAGAATTTGTGTGTAAACAATTGAGAAAAACTGTAACTTCCTATTTATAGTAACAACACCTTCAAACTGTAACATTATTGATCATAAAGTACAGCCTCTCGTACCTTATTGCCTGAGTACAATTTGGCCTTGTGAATCCTCAAAGACCACCAATGTTGGTCACGGAGTCCCACAAGGTTCTGTACTTGGACCGATCTTATTTACCCTCTATATGCTTCCTTTGGGCGATCTTATCAGGAAACACCGCATAAACTTCCATTGTTATGCAGATGATACTCAACTGTATCTGTCGATCAAGCCAGAAGAGACGGACCAGTTAGTTAGACTTCAAGAATGTCTTGGAGACATCAAAACTTGGATGACCGGCAACTTCCTGATGCTAAACTCAGAAAAAACGGAAGTTATCCTGATAGGCTCAGAGCGCCTTCGAAGCCAGCTGTCACGTGATACAGTTTTTATGGATGGAATTGCTCTGGTACCCAGCAGCACCGTCAGGAATCTGGGAGTTCTCTTCGACCAGGATATGACCTTCAACTCGCATATAAAGAAGATTTCAAGGACTGCCTATTTTCATCTACGTAACATATCAAAAATCAGGAACTTCCTGTCTCAAAGTGATGCAGAAAAATTAGTTCATGCGTTTGTCACCTCCAGACTGGACTACTGTAATTCTTTGTTATCAGGCTGCTCTTGTAAATCTCTTAAGCCTCTCCAGTTGATTCAGAATGCTGCAGCACGTGTATTAACAAGAACTAAGAAAAGGGATCATATCACTCCTGTATTAACTTCTCTGCACTGGCTCCCTGTTAAATCAAGAATAGATTTTAAGGTACTTCTCCTCACCTACAAGGCACTTGCTGGTGAGGCACCGTTGTATCTTCAAGAGCTTGTAACACCGTATTGCCCTACAAGGCAACTGCGCTCCATAGATGCTGGGTTACTTGTTGTTCCTATGGTTTTAAAAAGTAGGCTGGGGGCCAGAGCCTTCAGTTATCAAGCTCCTCTTTTGTGGAACCAGGTTCCACTTTCAGTCCGGGGGGCAGATTCGGTCAGCTCTTTTAAAGTAAAACTTAAAACGTTCCTCTTTGATTCTGCCAGGTTAGTCCGGACCAGCCCTTAGTTAAGCTGCTATAGGCTTAGAATGCCGGGGGAATTCTTAGGACACACCAAGCTCCTCTTGCACGCTCTTGTTCTACCATAATTCACGTTTTATTAATGCACATGACTAATTCAGCTTCTTTCCGGGAGGTTTTTTTTTGTGCTTTCTTCCCTATCAGGTCTCCGTAGATCGTGGTTCCTTCGGGACCCTGGTCCTGACACCTACCGTGGCCATGCTGACGCCTGCTGCTGCCATCATCATCATCATTATTTTAGATATTAATCATATTACTTTACTCATAAACCGACATTACCCTCTCCTAAAATCTCTGCGCTCTCCCTCCACACAGGCTTCTGTGGATGGTGGTTCTATGTGATGGTGGTTGCCCCTGCAGTGGTCCTGCTGTGCGCCTGGCTTACTACTCACAACTACTTCATTACTATCATTTCTGTCATAGGAATTGCATGTATTATACATTGTTCATTCTGTACACATGGCATCCATTGTAGTCTGTCCATCCCGGGAGTGGGATCCCTCCTCTGACGTTCTCCCTAAGGTTTCTTCCCTTTTTTCCCTCTTGTAAGGGTTTTTTCATTTTTTTGGGGAGTTTTTCCTGTGCCGATGGTGGGTTTCGGGGCAGAGGATGTTGTATGTGTACAGACTGTAAAGCCCTCTGAGGCAAATTTGTAATTTGCGATAATGGGCTGTACAAAATAAAATGACTTGACTTGACTTGTTTTGTCCTGTTATTCAGTTATTTATTAAATTTGAGTTAGTTTGTTAACAAAAATAAATATGTAAGTTAAAAATATAATACTGTGTTTTTGATTTAATTATTATTTTTAGTTTCATGAATCATTTTGGCGATGGGTTCCCTTTTGTTTTGATTTGAGCACTTGCCCCCCAAAATGTCTGTGCACGTTCCTGCCTCCAGGTAATGTAAAATATTGAAAGTATCTCTCAAGAGCCAACGTGTAGTCGGTCGGTTCATGGCTGTAGAAACACTGCTGCCTTTGTGAAACACTAATACCTTTGTCAAGAGGACGAGCTCCGCTTGTAGATAAGCTAATGAAAACACATTCTTAATTTCAGGTAGTTAAAGTAATGACAACATAATCATCGATATCGTATTCCATTCTTGCTCATAGATCCCCTGAAATGTCACATGTTGTTCCTTAACTCCCGCACCCCAACCCCCCAAAACGCCCCGTCTGCTCTCAATGGCTCAGGAGGAAAATAGGCGGCGCCTTAAAGGTAATTTTTTAACCATTGGAAAGAGATACAATGATGGGGGGAACGGAGCAGGCTCGGGAGTCTAAAAACGGGTTTTGCATTATTACGTTGTATTTCTGCAAAGGGAATTTCCTTTTGTGAGACAGAAAAAACTACTTCACTCATCCAGTGTTAGTTACAGTTTTGAACTGAAGATCATCAGCAGCAGGCTGTTAGGTCACAATAAAAAGCTCCTTCCTGTTCTTGTCACCAGTGGCGGATTTAAGAAATTTGGGGCCCAAGGCAAAGGCAGGCCTGAAGCCATCTGAAATCAGAAGACAACACACAAAGCAGCAGATCAATTATACAGATATATACATAACAGAATACACATGTATTATTTTTACCAGCAGGTTCTCTGATAGAATACTTAGGATGCTCACATACATCAAATTCATTTTTTTTTGCCCAAAGAAACTACGAAGGGAGAGACCAGGACTATTAAATATAATAGTCAAGACATATAAAGCATTTATTATGTTTAGTGTAGAATTGTAATTTGTGTGTTGTTAGATATTAGTTATTACATTAGCATGTTAGATGAAGTGAATGCAATATGAATCAAACACAATGTATAGTCATGTAAATCATATAAACACTGTACACATTAACATTCAGTCACAATGTGATGTTAATACCTGGGGACGGATGCTAGTTGCCGTCCTTTATGGATTTCTCTCAGTCTTCTCCCCAAAGAGGGTCTCTTGGGAGTTTTTTCTCCTGTCAGTTAGTAGATGAGCAACTGAATGAAAGATAGCCGAGTGAGGCAAATGTCTTGTGTTGGACCACATGAACTGTTTTAGATCTTATGATGTAGTGTGATGAACTGTGATCATTTATGATGTGTTGTAATTAAAGTGTACTAGTTATAAGATGAAGACTTAAACTATGCATGGTTTGTTATATTCACCCATACGCAGCCAAGCCCCCCCCCCCCCCAGTTAATATTGTGCACAGTCGTTTTGAAGGGTTTTAAATATCCTTACGCCATTTGGCTTTTAAATTGATAAGCATCTTACCCGTGCTGGCCCAATTTTGGGTCATTATTAACTTGTCTTTTTTAAGTACAGGTGCACCTCTTTTATTGTGTTTTAGGGCTGTTTTACGACTATAAGTCTCTTGGACAACTTTTGGTCATTTAGTTATATTTTGAGGTTTACTGTTTTTAACTGTAGTTTTGATGAAGAGACTATGAGCCCTGAAACAAACACACAAGCTCTTTTTTCCAAACACTCGGTTTTGTTGCAGCGTGCACAATGAGCTGCGTGCAAAGAATATTCTGTGGTTTCTTTGTCCCCACTGTGTATGTGATGTCAGCAATGAAGGGCTGGTTTGAATTGTGGAAACTTTGAAAGCATATAAACCCCCCCAGCACCGCAGACATTTGAGTGAACACAACGTTTACGGCTGTACAACACTTCAAAATAACTATGATATTTGAGTTGTTGAGTTGAGATAATGTTATAAAACGGGTAGATAAAATCAAGCATTCTGATTGGTTGGGAGTGACGGGGTGTACGGCATTGACACCTAATGTACTTTACACCTGTTACGTCGCTGAACGTTCAATGTCACTCAAAATAACAGATTTTGCGGCGTTAGTTGTCATTTCATCTTTTTTGCCCTGTGGCGATTGACAAAAAAAATGAAGACCAGAAACGCAGCTAATGACCAGTTTAGGGCAATGCTGGCTTTTACAGTTGATTTAGGGCATCTTTTAGACAAAGTGGACGATTCACGTAATAAGAAATCATAATGAATGAGAAGGTGTGAGATCTAGCTAGGAGACCTGGGATGTTTTCAGACGACGCATAAATGAATGTCCATCTCCTAGTGAATCATCAACAAACCTTTGGTGCGAGGCTAACAAATGTGATGTTTGTGTGTTAGCATGGCAACAGTACGCGGACTATTTGTGACGGGAGAACAAGGATTAAGACCCAAAATGCAATCACAGGAGCCAGTATAGATTTACCAAATTTATTGGTAAAAGTTATTATTTCACACTTGAAACAATTTTTGGTATTTCATATTGACCCATAACATAGGATCCAAAAGGACTTACATCACAATAAAACATAAGCTGACGTGGAATGTTTATGTATGCGTGTGGTTTAAGTACCATCATGATTTAAGCTTAGCAAACAACTCACAGCAGCAAGCTGACGAACAAAAGCCCTTCAAATAGAGATCCAATGAACTAACTTAATGACTCAGTGTATCTTAAAGCCAAAGGCATGTTGACTCGCATGTGGACGAGGGTCTTGCATCTTACTTTAGTCCTGTAACTGTTCGCTACATAATCCCCTTTTTCCAGTTTCTTTCCTTTCCTTCATAAAACAGCCTGTATATATAGTTATCTCTCACATACAAGTATGAACATACAATGATTTAGCTAAAAGGTGAGTTTGATGGAAATGTAACTTTTCCCTCTGAATACAGTTAAATCAGTCTGAGGCAATTGCAATTCCAAGTAACAGGTTGAATCAACACATCTTTTCAAAAAGGAGCAACAGTTGCTGCTTCAACACGTAGTCACAAGAAAGAGAAAGTGATAAAATGACCTCAGCGTCTGCTTGGTACCCCTTTGAAGAACTTACACTCCTACTGCTTTATAGTTGAGTATGTGCATTCAAACTCTGGGTTGTTCCATTGTCTTACCACCGCATGTTCGATGTTTGATTAATTTCGTTCACCCTAACAAAAAGAGAAAAACCACAATATTTTACTTTATATAAAATAAAACTGTCATGAATCACTACTGTGCCTGATTGTTTGAATGATAAAACAACAGTAATCTTACCTCTGCATTTGGTGTGGAGGGAGCTGAACATCTTGCATGAAACTCTTAAACAGAAAGAAAAGTTCTGACACTATAAGAACGTGTGAAGTGAGCGCACACTGTCAGACACACAAAATAGTTGTTACAATACCTGTAACTTCACAGTGGTTTCTCTTTCATCATGCAAAGTAAGAAAACCAGAAGGACATTAAGGATGATGGTAAAAGTTAGAGCTCCACTCAACAAATACACCAAGATACGAGAGTCCTTCTCATCTGCAGAGAAACAAAAACAGCAGACATTACACAGCTTAAGTCTTAAGGGGAAATACAACAGTTGAATAAAAATACATCAAAAGGAATCTTACTCAGCTGATTATTACAATAAGACAATATTAAATGCTGCAATCTAAAAAAAACAACAGAAGACAGAAAAAACAACTAGGATGTTGGTGAATACCAAAGCGCCACTTGAAAAATAGAGGAAAAAAAGGAGAGTCCACCTCATCTGCAAAGAGATAAAGGGCATAAACATGTCTCTTTTAAACACCAATCAGATAAAACAACCTCCGCTGAAACAAGTAACTTACCCTCAAAGTCCAGCTTGGTCCCATCTCCAAACAGAATATGTCCACACGAGGCAACAGCACAGTAGTAGGTTCCAGCATGAGACAGATTCAGGCTTCCACTACAAAAACACACTTTATTATACAACAGAGGGCGCAAATGACATTGTATATACACAATACTAAAACAACGAGCCATATACGTCAATTAAACAAAGTGTAGGGCTTACCAGTGGCAAGGAGGCCCCAGGTGAGGATCCCAAAAATAGGCGGCACCCGATCGCACACACACACACAGGGTTCCAAACCCAGGGTACCCAAAACGCCGCAGCACACAGAGGGGGACACCAACACAGCACCACCTACAAGCACAAAGAACCAAAATAAAAGGAGCTGATTCTCTTAAAAAAGGAAAACAAACAACAAGTAGATGGCCCCTTGAATCCCGCTAAAAGTCCCTGATCAGGCAATATCCATCTGCTCCAGAAAGCGGTAAGAGGCCGGTTAATGCTGCTACCGGTGACAACAGATCCGCAGGTACATCAGTGCAGGACGAGGGGAGCCTCGAGATGCACCAGAAGTGGATGTCCGACCGAACGGAAATGGAACAATGCCGTGAGTAGGCCTGAGGCCAGGAAAATACTAAAAATACATGTAAGGGTCACAGGGAAAATGTTATGGAATAGTAGAAAATACCTTACACAGGGAAACAAGAAACACACAAGATAGTGTCACTATTAGGCACCACTTTGTTTTAACTAGGCCTATACAGTCATTTTTTGATTTCTGCATCTGCATGCTTTTACTTTAATTTTTATTATTAATTTTTATCTTCTGCATGTTTTCATTATCTGTGTGTGGTGGTTAATGTAGTATTGCAGATACAGGTATTATTTGGCACCTACCTTATGCTTTTTAACAAGTGAGTGCATCTCATTAGGGTCAACAGGTGCGTTCCGAAATTGACGGCTGGTGCACCGCTCTGTCCCTTTAAAGAGCCTGGTGTGGTACAGGAGCAGGCGGCGATTTTTCGGGGTGGGTAGATTGACGATCAATTGTGAACGCTGGGTTCGGGAGCGGTTATTTGAAAGTTTTGGGAACAAGAAAAACTCAATATTGCGATTTAGCAACAAACTGTAGCGTGAATGCAGAGGACATGGGTGATGGCTCAGACGGCGAGAGAGATCATATGCCATGGCAAGAAGCCACCAGAAAGAGGAGAGACCAGAGCGATAGTGATTTTGGAGAGGAGAATAAAAACGTCAAGGTTAAGAAATCAAGTGCGGTGGAAAATGATGATGCAGTAGAATGGAAAGTGGTGATTACATTTAAGAAGGAAGGGGATCATTATCATCCATTAAAACTGACAAAAGCAATATAAAAGGAAATAGTAAAAGTATTTAAGCAACAGTTGGCTATTGATCTTTGCCTCAGACCAAAGGCAAAGGGAGAGGATCCTCAGAGCTGCAGTCATATTCCAGGGAGCACTTCAAAGCTGAGAGGTGTTGTGCAGAATGTACCACTGTCTGTGTCCATAGAGGAGATAAGACATCAAGTGAGAGAAGCAAAGATCTGGAAAGCGTCCAGACTTAATTAGAAATAAACCGAGATGGAAATAAAACGGACAGCCTGTTAGTTCTGCTTAAGTTTGAAAAGGTCATGCCTAAAAAAATTAAAATAGGATATATGGGTTATGATATGAGAGAATTTATTCCGCGACGTTAAGATGCTTCAAGTGTCAAAGGATGGGACATACAGCAGGGCCATGTAAAGGGAAGCAGAGATGTGCACGATGTGGCGGCGAGCACGAATACGGAAAATGTGGACACAATGAAAAAATGAACACAGCACTGTGTTTGGGGGCTGCCCAGTTCAAATGCAAGCAAAGGTAGTGCAGACGTATAAAATACTCAACCGAGTGTCTTATGTGGAAGCAGTTAAAAAGGTGAAGAAAACCGATAATGTCACACCCAGGGAAACACGCACGAATGAAGCAGGAGATAGTAAACTCCCTGTGCACATTCCTCCTGCCCCGAATGTGAGGCAAACTAAGGTAAACCCATACACAAAAGAGGTAAATGAGGACAACTATGATGCACAGGCTCAGGGTGATTAACCTCCTAATGGTGTCCTACAATGGAATGCTAGAAGTCTAATCGCCAATGGGCAAGAGCTTAAGAAGGTTGCGGCTGAACTGTAAGATGTGCCGGACGTTATCTGTATCCAAGAAACTTGGCTAAAAACTCGATTGGACGGGATACAGATCTCTCAAAACAAGGGGGAGGATGTGTAACATTTATTAAGGATAGCTTATCATATAGGGAAATGAATGTGCCAGAGCAGTATGTGTGGTGATAGAGGTATGCAGTCCCAGAGGAGATATTAAGGTTGTGAACTATTATAATCTGTGTAAAAAGCTCTCCATGGAAATGCTCCACGAGATATGAGGGAATAATGGAAAAAGGGAGATTTGGTGTGGAGATTTTAACGCGCATAATTCACTATGGGGAAGTGAGGGTACAGATAGCAACGGTAGAAGAACAAGGAAGCTAGCTGGACGCTAAGCTACCGGCCACATGGCTGAGGTGTTGCTAGCAGGCTGTGTTTGAACACCATGTGTGTTCCTCACACAGTTAAACCTCTGTCTGTAGGTAACTCTATATGTGTGGAGGGACAAGTATGTGTGTTAGTAAATTAGAAATCAAAGGAAGAAGGAAAAAAACTCAGCGCAAAGCAGATCGTGTTCAGAACAGTGAGGCACGATAGCGGTTTCCACTAAAAATTTGACGTCGCATAGACGTGCAGATCATGTCTATATTAGGTCCGTCGGTCCATGACCAATTCTGGACATCTATTCGACGTCCATACTAGGTCCACTATTTGGACGTCCAACCATGACCCAACTTGGACGTCATATTTACGTTCAAAATTTGACCTTTGAAGCGGGTCATTTTTGTGGACGTCATCTGGACGTCTATGACAGGTGCAAGAAGTATAGGCCTATGTTTATTTACAAATATTGTTGCATCAACATGATATGAATAGCCTATATTATTCATAAACATGATTTAATATGTGCATGCCTATTTATTTATTCAGTAGGTAATTTTCCTGTTTTAGTTAAAAAAACCTACTGAACAATAATAATAATAAATAAATGTTTAAGTTTATTTAATTAATAAAAACATTTAATAACCAACATCAGCAGAAAAGTCACAGCCGAGGACTAAGGGCTTTGGATTTCAACCAAAGATTTAAAAACCAGTCAAAGTCACTCTGATTGGCTGAAGCAACACATCATGTAAACGCCACTCTGATTGGTCAAGGCAACACGCCAGACATTTGGCGCGATTCAGCGTGTTTCAACCATTGAAATAACGGCTCTTCACATCAGGCTTTGGCGACATGTTCGAGGCACAGCAAGAAATAACGGCACAGCTTGTCAGCCTGCATTGCTGGTGAATCACTTTCCTCTAAATTGAAGGTAAGTTCGATAAGCCTAGTGAATTCTATGTCCATGCGTACTTATGTTTAGCCTTATATCGTAGCGAATGGCCAAGCATCCCTTAACGACACACATTTTTATTTTGCGTTAGCTTGCTGCACAGAAGTCTTGGTTTATGTTCAGTTTCAATGTTATTTTAGCTGGCCACAAGAGAACATGTTGTGTAATGCAAATGTAAACTGTTTGTAGCCTGCAAATTGGTTCGCATTTCAAGGTTTCGGGCAGCAAATCTGTTAGTCAAGGTGGTTGGCCATCCGGGGATAGCATGCTCTCGTGCATAACGAGCTAGTTAGCATTCTGAGTGTGCCGGCGGGCCGATTCTGAGCGTGCGCGCCTCCAACAATATATGTCCATATATGGCAATGCTTTTTTTTTGGGACGACGACGACGTAGTTAAGGCGGCAGCCATATGTTGCCAAGACGTCCGCCTTAGCTGCAAAGTGCTGCGGGGAAACCCTGCGTTTCTATGATTATCTTAGTTTGCTAACAGGGTAGGCCGGCGTTCATGTTCGTTATGTTCGCGTTGGTGTTCGGGCAACTTCGTCACATGGGTGGCAGCCATTTTAGCAGTAAGTTACGCTTAAGGAAGACACAGTGATTACTAATGGGAAGAAACACATTTAGGTTTAACGTTAGGCCTCAAGAGGATATAAGAAAACAAATAGACCGTTTGAGCATATGTGAGTTTTTCCCCCCACAACGACGGGATGAACAAGAAGGCAACGGAGCGTTACTTAAATAAAATAAAGGTCATTCAATGCTGTAAATTGGCTTCTGTTCTGTGGGCTGTGTAACGTTGAGTTTTCCTTCTGATGTTAAGCTCTAACTTACTACTGCCCATACAAACACAGCTGCAATCAGTCAACGTAATCGACCATGAAAATTGGTCAACGGCAATCAGTTTAGTGGACGTGTCGTTTTACTATTGATTTATTTCTGGTCTCCCGTATCAAACCGCTCGCTGTGATGTTATTAATTAAATCTGTTATTCACTCTTGAAGTCTAATTTGACATTGGAAAGACGTCTAAAACAACCATATTTGTACTATAAATAGCCCTTATATGGAGGTCCCACGGACGTGAACATTAGACGTGGAGTAGACGTAAAGAAAAGACGTCACCTGGCGTTACAAAACAACCCCTTCAGTGGACCAAAATTGGACGTCCAAAATGACATAAAAAAGACGTCACCCTGACGTCACATTGGGTTCATAAGCATACACAACCTCTCGTTTTTGGTGTTTCCTCGAGTTCCGTTTTGTTCTGGGGACAATAAAGACTGTTGGGTTTCGTCTGCACAAAAGACAAAACCCAACATAATGTGCTATAAAACCGGAAATGTGAGATTCCGGAAAAGATGTAGTTAGCAGACTAATCGCAGCCTTGCGGGCTGCGTGAGGCGTGCATAGCTTTTGACGCTAGTTAAATTAAAAATTGGTTGACGCACACAAGCACACAAGAATGAGTGAAAAGGCACGCAAAGGACACGCAAGCGGCTCTTGCCTCTGCGTGTCCTTTCATCTCTCTGAAAACGCAGAAGCATAAACTAGGCTTTAGTGTGCTGGATTCCGGCGCATGTAGAGGTTGAAGGAAACGAGACCTAAGACGGGATTGCAACGAAAGGGAGAGGAAATACTTTACATTCCATTTGATAAAGGGGAAGCAAAAGTGGTTATAGGAGAGGCGGTGAGGGAGAGATGTCAAAGGAAGTGGGACAACAAGGAAGGAAGGCGCTATCACAACACACTATATATATTATTATATCCATAACTATAAAGTCATTCAAAGGAAAGTTTCCGTGAGATTCATCATCATTCATCATTTCACGGTTATGATTTAGACACAGGGTCTGAACTCAACTCAACTCGTACTGGCAAAGACTGGATCAGATAAATGCAATACATGCAACGAGACTGAAGATGTGGAGCATGTTATTATGAAGTGCTAAATTCAGCAACGAAAGAAACATCTTGAAGGCTCAAATTTGCCAGCGGGGACGGAAGTGGAGCGTGGAGGGAGTTCTGGCAGTGGATCACGGTGGGCGTGAGTGCTTTAGGGCACTGTTGCAATTTATAAAAGAGATGGGACTAGGTTAAAGTTGTAGTCTGAGCAAAAAAAACCTGAATCCGCACACTCCGGTACAGTAGGTGGCGCTATGCACCTAGTCAAGTTGGTTGCGATGCGCCATTTCAAACCTAAAGAAGAAGAGGCCTCATCTCTTGTCCAACCAGGTAATGTCATTGTGGGGCTTTGGCCGTCACAATCCCCAATACTAGTGATGGGAAGTTTGAATCATTTTACCGACTCGGTTCTTAGAATCTCGTTCAGTAAAATGAACAAATCTTTTTTTGAGTCATTCGTTCATGTCAGGGGGGGGTGATAAGATAAATTCACCTCCCGACCGTGTCTTCGGGTCAATGTTTCGTTCATCTGCCAACCGAGCCTTCGGGTCAATGATTCGTTCATTGAGCCTATGCAAGTCCCGATGCGTGAACGATTCGTTCATTTTGAACGAATCGTTCACGAATGACGCATCACTACCCAATACACCTCATTCATCCCTTTCCGGGGCTGTGCTGGGGTGAGCTACAGATGCAATATCAGGGTAATACCTCCTTCATTAACATACGCAGTAGATAAGTCACATGTTGGCTGGTGTTTCCAAGGTTTTGCACTCAGTGACTCACTTTACAGCAGTTGCACAAGTTTGAGAGAAAACTACAGTGGCCCCCGATGTGGAGTCAAATCTAAATGGCTTGTTGGAAAATATTATTTCAGATCTAGACTGCCCACAAAGATTCAACTGGAAGTTTAATTTAATTCTCCTGGGAACCAGAAGCATTGAAAAAGCACCTTTCTCCTGATGGGTGTCTTTCAGCTGCTGTGTGACACCAGCGTTCAGAGAGGAGGTCTTTTAAAGTAAACTGACCAATGGCTCTGTGGCATCCCTAATTCATTGCCAGTCACCAGCTTTAAACCCATATTACTAACTAAATTAGCTGACTTATATCACATACGTTTTTTTGTGGGAATAAAACGTTTTTTTGTGCAATTTGATTTTGAAGTTTGATTTAAATTAGCTCCTGCAGATGTATCGTCAAAGTGATCGATAGGATCACACTTGAGTCTGACAGTAACACAGTTTGAACCTTCTGACTGTGTTCAGCAGGCTCTTTCATCGGCTGGAGGTTGAAGTTTTAGAATGGGTTTGTATTAATATGTTTTTGTGCTTTCATTGCTGTAAAGTAGTTTTCTTTTCCTCTTGTGAGAGAGAAAATAAAAGTCCAATAGTCCAATTGTTTTTAGCTGAAAATAATCAACTACAGCAGCAGCCTTTTCCCGTTTATTTAATATCATTGATTACATTAATATCACATTTAATTGGGTCGAACACAAAACGTGTCAGATGATCTGAAACTGCGGATCCGAGCTTCTAAATGTTTATGACATAGAAAACATTTATTGATAAAAAAGGATAGATGGTTTGAAGATAACTGCTTCTCACCATTCAGAAATGAGCATCATTTTTATGCAAATTACCAAAAAATAGACTACTATTTATCAAATCTTCATTACAGTTCAAAAGAGAAAACCTTGTCATATGTTGAGTTCTACTGCTTCGCGCTGCAGTATACACATTCACTCCAGGTCTGATCCATCCGTCTTCTTGATCCGTCGTGCAGGTGGACACTTAAAGCCGCATCATACAGGATTTCTTTGTTTTGGTGACACTGGTAACAAATCAGATGTTAGTTGATTAATATTACATGAACCAATATACAGGGGAAAAAGGTACTAAACTAAGACAGCAGTTGAATATTTTTTTTATTCACCTTTGTATTTGCCGTGGAGGGAGCAGTATATGTTGCTAGAGACAGAAAAAGCTCTTTAATTCAACAAGCTGCATTGTGAAACCAAGCTGCAACATACAAACAGCTATAGTTACCTGTGCTTTGGCAGCTGTCAGCCTTGTCGATCTTGCACGCTGAAAGAGCCAGTAAAACAACTAGCATTGGGATGAATATCAAAGAACTTAAGAGATAGACGACGGAAAAAAGAAAAGTCCTCATCTGCAAAGAGATAGAGGGAAGAAACATGTCTCTTTTTAGCACCAATTAGATACAAAAACCTCAGCTGCAACAAATAACGTACCCTTAAAGTCCAGCTTGGTCCCGTTTCCAAACAGAATCTGAGTCTGAAATGTTCAAATCAAAAATTGTCAAGTAATTGACCTTTTTCCGTATCCAGTGTGAAATGTGGATTGTTAAACTGGTAGAAGGTGGAGATCAGCTTTGGTTGTTGTCCCAACGTTTGCTTAAACCAGTAAAGTCATGATCCCTCGTCATTCTCATAGAAACAATCCAAAGCAATTTCGTCTGCAACAGGGAGTGATGCAAAACGTCTTTCTTGACGTTCAGGTGATGACAATTTTAGATCAATTGCATGAACTGTGAGAAGTGAGACAAAGCAAATACACATTAACTATACAAATATTATATACAGTATCTATACTGTGTGTATATATACACACACACACACACACACACACACGTCTATGTATGTAGAGTATATAAAGATAAGCATTTTCATGAAAAGAAACAAAATCACAACTCATCCATTTTCCACAAGAACAACCATGTCACATAGACGGCAAACCTTGGAGATGTCATCGTGATCAAGTTCTCGCATTGAATGAAGATCATCTTAAGACTTTCTCCACTCTTCAGAGACAGACTGCGTTTGATTGGCCAAACCGATGTGACTCTGTATGTGGGTTAGCAAACACGCTCTCTTACATCCTTAGAATTTGAAGTCCTGTGCGGTCATCAGGTTCATGCAATAATGTACATTTGCTGGACTCCAACAAAAGAAAATTATAATATGTTTGAAAAGAATAATATCTCAGAGCCGAATGGCCGAATGTATCACCCCAAAATTCTGTCGTGGAGTTCACTCTCAATATCATTGTTTTGAGACTTTTGCTGAACGCAAGCTTAAAATAATTGAAATTACCCGCATAAGAGCTCTTATCGTATTCTTTGAATTACTGTCATTAATATAATAATTGTTCTTAATTTATTGTTTGTTTCTCATGTTTCAAAATGCCTTGTACAACATGTTGATTCTATCAATTGATTAGTTTGTATAAAGTAGCACTTTAATCTTCTTCTACTCCGAATTGCCGTCAGTAGCTGTATTAGCTCCAGCCTATGTAGTATTTCCATTTTAAAAGCACTCCACTGTTCTTGGATGTTTTAGTGGTCTTTGGGTTAAGGAGCCTCTACGTGGCCGTGAAAGATTGTGAACTTCCTGCTGAAAACCACAGCTGCTGAACTGACAGTATGTGTATAACTACCTCTGGGTAGGGGAGGGGCTTTTAGCACAACATGTTGACTGTTCTTTGTTAAGTAAATCATGTAGTGTATTATGTTTGGATTAAAATTATCGTTAGTAATTAAGTAAGTATTAAGTAAGGTTAATTGACCTTTGCTGTCATGGTAGCAATTGTAATTATGCGTAAATGTTAAGAAACCGTTCCAGACATGCTTAAAAAAAGCAGTTTCTCTCTCATTAATGAGATTAAATCAGGGGGTCTCTACCCAATTACTTCTGCTACCAGTAGAAACAAAGTTCTGGCTCAATGATTTGAGCAGAGCTTTGGGAAAAACCTACTAAAATTTACTCTAAACTAAAAGTTAAAGTCAAAAGTTTATCCAGTCCAACTATACAAAAACATGTTTGAAGTCAGACCATAAAAATGCTTTAAGAACTGTTCAATAGTACCTAAATCTTCAGCCAAGAAGGTAGACAGAATTAATTGTGACCTATATAGGAGAATTGTGAACACTCTGGATCCACATGCTTTTGCAAGTATAAAAATGCATGCAAGACCTCGGAAGTTCAGGTCCAAGGCCTTTGTTTCCTTAATTGTTCTATGCAGTCTCCAATCTTTTGTGTAACAGTGTCCAACCGGGAATAGGACTCATCTTTAAAGCCATTCCGTCAAACACAAAAATACCTTAATCAAAAAGACAAGTTGCTTTGTGTTGCGATCGGAGAAGTAGATGGATGGTATCTGGCCTACGATTTATTTGAAGTTGTACCAAATTGTGAGGTACCAGCAACGCCACCTCCGGAGTCTTGCCCACACAGTAACAAGTGGCAGTGGGCGCGAATAACATTGTATATACACAATACTAAAACAACGAGCCATATACGTCAATAAAACAAAGTGTAAGGCTGCGTCTTACCGGTGGCGAGGAGGCCCCAGGTGAGGATCCCACAAGAGGACACACACACACCAAAATAGAAGGCGCTGAATCTCTCAAAAAACAAAAGAATGAACAAAACTAAAATAACTCAGGTTAAATGAAGGAGTACTGGGGCGGCTCAGTTAGCCACCTCGGATAAGTCCGAAGCCAGAGTGAGTCTTGACATTCCCTGTCAGAGGGCACGATCAAATGGCTCAATCTAAAACGTCTTTAAAAACCCTAGCGAAATCAAGACACAACAATGGAGGCGCAGTGCCGGTACTAGGGGCGTCCAATTCTGTGAGCGATGCAGCACCAATCAAAACATCTGTTTTTAGGTGAAAAAAGTTCTTTATTTGTTTACCTACCTTATGTTTTTAACAAGTGAGTGCATCTCATCAGGGTCAACAGCTGCGTTCCTAAATCGACGGCAGGTGCGCCGGTCTTCCCCTTTAAAGAGCCTGGTGTGGTACAGGAGCAGGCGGTAGTTGGAGCAGCACAGAGTGGAGGTGGACAGGCGGACTTTTACTAAGAATACTAAAAAAATTATGATTCGGCTTTTAGTACATTTGTAAGCCAATTCTCCTCTTGGCGGAAAAACCAACGTTTGCTTTGTCCGTGCTGGCCCAATCTGGTGTCCTTTCTAATTTTACTGAGCGTTTACAGCGTCTCTGAAACTACTTTTCGAGTTAGACATTGTTTTTATGTTGAGTTTGACTGTTTTTAACTGTAGTTGTGATTCAGTGGAATACATTTTTAATTAATTTCAGTTGTCTGCTATTGTGGCGCACAAACACCACTTAGTAATTAACAGAAGCAATACAATTACAAAGTGCTGTCCGCGTAAAGGTCTTTCTCCTCCAAGGCGTTCCATGACTCTCTCTCCCTGTTCATCTGATGGCCGGATCTGAAATTCCTGAAAGACCTGACCAATCCCTATTCCCTAAACATATCATGTAATAGCTAATAGACTTATTAACTGATACTAACACATCTTAAATCCTCACAGTTCATCACATTTTAGGGCATCCCTCACAGTTCATCACATTTTAGGGCATCCTTTTGCTCAGCCTAACCCTAGACAACAACTTCCAAAAAAAAAATTTTTGGGAGAAGAAGTGAAAGAAATCCATCAAGGAAGGAATACAAACCTTCCCCTAGGCTTTAACGTTACATTGTGGCAGGATGTTATTTGTGCAGTAATTAAATAAATTATATGACTGGAAATTGTGTTTAATTCATATTGAAGCTATTAAACTAATGCTAATGTAATAACATATGTAATAACACACAAACTAATAATAACCCATTGAAAGTGAAAGCTCATGTGGTGAAAGATAATTCTGGCCTGTGAATGCTCCTGATTCATTTTAGTTTACCAGAATTTTGTTTACTACTTATGCCCTCAATAAATAATACATAATAAAAATAATAATACATTTATATTATATATTTATTTATGTATATTATATATAATAATAATATTATTAAAAATAATAATAATAATGAAAATAAAAAAAGAATGAAAACACATGCACATAATATATTGTTACAAAATCAAAGTATCAGCTGTATTTCATCACTAATGACAATCATTTGCATGCAAATGTTCATACTTCATACAAATTGCTTAGCTTACTTAGCACCTAACTACAAAAAAAGGCACATTACCTGCCTTTCCACTAAATCTTGCCATGGTAATAAAGTGTGAGGGCTGAATATATACATATTTTCTAATAATTCCCAAATCTTTTTCTGTAAATATATTTGTGAGTTTACTGTTTAGTGCTGGAGTACACACATTCAACGTCAATGTTCATCTTCTCCCTCCATGATCCGTTGGACAGATTGAGATTTAAAGCAGCATAATGAGGGCTCTGTGCGTTTTGGTAACCCTGGTGGCAAAACATGAAGAAGTGAATGAATATATGAAAATAAAACAATATTCAGAATGAAAATCAAAGTTCACCTCTGTGTTTCCTGAGGGGAGAGCTGATACAGTTGCGCGAGACTCTGATCGTGAAACACAGAAATTCTCTTTATTAAAAATGTGTATTTATAGATTACAGGCTGTCAGATAAAAACCGAACAACTTACCTGAACATTGACATGTCTTTTTCTTGTACAGCTTGTAGACCAAAAAACACAGTAAAACCACCAGGATGGTGGTGAATACCAAAGCTCCACTCAATAAATACACCAGGAGAAGATGGTCGCCCTCTGCAAAGTAAGAAACTAGAAAATAAGCTTTCAGCTTTAATATTTGTGTTCATGTCAACTTTGATTAAAACAAAAACAAAAACTATCTGACGAGCTGGATTATCACTTACCCTCGATATCCAGCTTGGTCCCATCTCCAAACCGAATGTGTCCACACGAGGCAACAGCACAGTAATAGGTTCCAGCATGAGACAGATTCAGGCTCTCCATCGGCAGGTTGTAGTCACAGGTGTGTGTTTGTGTGTTGGGTTTCCTCTCACACTGATCAGTGCTGCCTCCATCAGTGTAAATGAGTGCTGGATGAGATTCTTCAGAGTCTTTGAACCAGTAAACATTGTGTTGTCCATCACAGGTCCCAGTTTGTACTGTACAGTTCAGAGCCACAGAGCCTCCTGGCTGGATGGTCTCTGATGGTGACTGATGGATTAAAGTTGGGATGTTTGAACTAGAACCCTGCACACTGACAACAGTACCCTCAGCAAAAGTCAACACATATGGAGTACTATGTGCACAGTAGTAAGTTGCTGAGTCTGAAATATTCAAATCAATAATTGTCAGGTGATTTTGACCTTTTTCCGTATCCAGTGTGAAGCGAAGATTGTTCTCAAATTCATGATGAAAAGTCCCATTTTTGTTGTACTTATAGAAGGTGGAGATCAGCTTTGGTTGTTGTCCCAACATTTGCTTAAGCCAGTAAAACCATTCTCCATCTTTATTCTGATAGACACATTTCAAAGTAATTTTGTCTCCAACACCGACTGATGCAAAACCTCTTTCTTGACGCACAGGTGATGACAATTTTAGATCAGTTGCATGAGCTGAAGTGAGAAAAAAAATACCAAGCAAAGACACAATCATTTTTTATATACCGTAAGTATATATACCAAACCAGTCAAATGTATGTATGTATGCATAATATATAAATATAAATATATATATATATATATATATATATATATATATATATATATATATATATACATATATATATATATATATATTTATATATTATTTATATATACATATTTATATATACATATTTTCATGAAACGTTACTACCTTAACAAAGAACTTACTTTTATATCTTAAATAGATGTATCTATACAGTGGAAACAAAAACACAACTCACCGATTTTCCACAAGAACAACCATGTCACGACGGCAAACCTTGGAGATGTCATTGTGTTCAAATTCTTGTGTTGAATGAAGATCTTCTTAATACTTTCTACTCTCTATTCTTCAGAGACAGACTGCGTCTGATTGGCCAACCTGATGTGACTCTGTGCTGTACGTCCTACTGAGGAAGTTCTCTCCCTTACATCTATAGAGTAAAGTTACGTTGAAAAGAGAAAGAAACAGAAAGAAGTGTACGTAAAAATCATTGGCTCTGTATCTTTGTGACATAGACTTTGGGAAAAATAGATCCCAGGCATATAAAATTTTACAGCAGGGCAACACAATTGTTATTTCTTAAGTAAATAAAATAATTAAATAAATATCATGCTTCGATTCAAATTACCATTAAGCTTCTTTTGTGATGGTAACAATTATAACCATAAGGTCGGGAAGCTGTTGGGACAAAAGGATTGACTGTTTTTTCTTATCTCTCATTTCCAATTCCCACGTTGTTTATCCACCTGTAGTCCCTCCCTTGTCATCCATAACAACTTTCTCTCACCTTCTCCTTACTCTGGTTGTAGATCACAACGGAGCTTTGTCACCTAACTTATGTGTTATTTTTCTTTCTAACGCCTGAGTGTTAAATAAAGGTTAGGTGTGAATTAAGTTAGAAAGACTCAACAAGTAACTCAATGAATTTGCGCGGCCCGAATGACCATTGTCGTGATGGTCCACTGACCAATCACAGCGCATGTTCTCCTACAGTGTTTCATTAACATTAAGCAAATTAGGCAATGACATCAGTTAACAACTTCTAGAAAATTTTAACGACAATCAATAGAGACTTTCCTTGCTGAGGATTTGGCAACACTGCACCAGTACCAAGACGGAAAAGGGCGAGGAAATCAGGACCAGCACTGCATCCGCAGGCTAAGATTAAGAACGCTAGACCCCGTACATGTTCTCCACTAACTACTCCAGGCCCATCGAGGACAGACATCACCGTCATCTCCACCCTTCAGGCACGGGTCAGCTCCATGGACACCATTGAGGCTCGCCTCCAACGTCTGGGAAACATGTTCAACTTCCACATGAACCACCATAGCAGCTCTCCAGGACGTCACACGGTGAACACTCCGTATGGCAAGTCAGCCTAAAACAAAGCAGCGCAGCATTCGCCGGCATCTGCAGTCCCTGATCTTCCACTGGGTACCTTGTTGCTTTACTCCTCTCTGCTTCTCCCGCGGCATTATTGCAGTTTGTAAAGCGAGATTGCATTTCCTTTATTTGCATTTAATACATGATCCTCCTTTTATAGAGCTTCCCTCACAAAATGGCTTCTCTTTGCTCTTGATTTGTGACTGGGCCAGTCTTCTTCTGTTTCAAGCTAGGAGTCAAGTTTCCACCAGTGGAAACCAGTTCACAGCAGTTAATACCTTTTTTACATCAGCAGTCAGAATGAGGTCACGAGCAGAGCTGGCTAGTCTGTGGTCGCATGCCCCGCTTACATTTCTAGTTAGAAGAAGTTATTAATAGACCAGAGGGGACTTTTGAGCATGTTCAGCTAATGTCTGCATCCAATGCTGTATGTCACGGTTTATTTTCATGTCTTATCTTTACATTAAATAAATATAAAATAAACATGAATAACATATTTATGAAAGACAAATAATGTAGTAATGTCTTCTTTGTACAGGGGAACCAACCCCAACTATTAATGTGTAAAAGGATTTTATTATTCCCTTTTTAAAATAAAAATGTACTATAGTCCATTGACTGACCTTGCATAGTACACATGAGGAAGTGCTAAGGTGACTTCGGATTTGTAGATGTATACATGTACACACAGTTCCTCGATGTGTTTTAAACTAGTCTGTGTACCAGCAGGTAGGAGATCTGCATTTGATCAGTCTTCAATCTTTCCTGGTTGGTCTGCATTGCAGTGATGACACTTTGCAGCTCCTTTTGTATTTTATTCTGACATCAGACATTGTCTCCACCGTATTTCACTGTAGCTTCTGTGGGCGGGAGGCTTCTAGGGGCCAAACACACTGGTGCATAGATACGTGACATCAGCATGGAACAGAACAAGAATCGTTCTCTAGACAGTTTTTAGATTTGAATATCTTTCTGATGTCTTTCATGCACCTTAAGGCATTTTTTTTAAATGTATTTGTCTCTTGTCTTTCTGCTGTCTATTGTGGAAACTATATATATTGTGGGTATGAGCTGCTTCTGGTGGCAAACACATTTTACCACATGTCCTACATACTCCAACATCCCTCTGGTCTGATTGGTTCTTCGTCCTCATATTGCTGAACGCGGTTGGCTCGATGACATTGAGACACAAAACAAGACAAAACCTGGCCCGATTTGACGTCTGGGACCAGATAATGCAAATATGTACACTGCATTTCAGATAGATACTTTCAGTTGGTTAGTGTGGTCCTTTCTACTGAAATAAATGCTTCTGCTGATTTTTTAAATAATTTTTTTAAACTTGTTATTATTGTATTGGGGTGAAGACCGAGTTCTTAGTGAAAAAAAATGTGAAAACGGGGACCAATCAAGTGTCCTGTGAGGACATTACTACTACTTCTAATGCTACTGACAGTTATGGACGCGGTTTAGGTGAGTGTGATGCGACATTCTTCAGCAGCTGCTAAAGAAGTAAGTTTGATTGACAGATGGTTTCACCAATTAGTGTTAAACTCTTCTTATACAAAGAATGTTTTTTGTCACACACATGAGAAATGCAGAAAAGGCTTATCATTTGGCTTTGATTTTTTTTTTAAATGTTCTTCAGCAAAACAAGTGAACCAGGCACACGAGCAGTGGAGGATGCGTGTTGGACCCATACAGAAAAGTTTGGTTCTGAAAAGTGGAGCCAATGCGGAAGAACCTTCAACTTTCAGTCTTTCAAATGCCATAAGGGAGATCTTATGACAGGCCAGGAGGATTTTCGTATTAAAAAAACATAAATAGAAGACTCAAAGGCAGAATATCTAACTATTCATCATCTTTATTTATTACCACTGCACAAAATACAACACAAAATAAAAAGTTATTACTTCACACTAATAATTGGTAGTACTTCATATTCACATATAACATTGTTGATTTTTACATCAGAATAGTTGCATGTTTAACACTCATAAACCACAGCTGATCTGGAATGTTTGTGTATGTGTGTACTTTTTGAACACAAGGACGATCATGTTTTGGAAACAACTAACAGCAGCAAGATGACAAACTAAAATCCCTTCAGAAAATGATCCAAAAAATGAAAAGCTCAGTGTACTTTAAATCCAAAGGCATGTTGACTCATCGTTCTGTTGAGGGTCTTATATCAGATGTTAGTCCCGTAACTGTTCTATGTCATACCTTTCTTCCTGTTGTTTTTTTCCTTTGAAAGTTATCTCACACACAAAGACATAAACATTAGGCATATTTTGCTAAATTATTTAGCTATCTGATTTGCTTAAATTCGAGTTTGATGGAGATTTAACTTTTCCCCTCTAAATACAGTTAAATCACTCTGAGGCTATTCCATAGCAAAGCCCTAAAGTAACACGTTGAATCAACACATCTTTTTAGAAAAGAGCAACAGTTGCTGCTTCAACGCGTAGTCACGAGGAAGACTGATAAAGTGAAGTGATAAAATGAGCTTAGCGTCTCATAGATCTGCTTGGTACCCCTTTGAGGCACGTTGCTGTGTTCAAAAATTAAGAAACGCCGGACGGACAGAGAGCATCGCAGATCTAAAGGTTAAAATCAAATTTGATAAAAAAGATGGTGTTGTGGTAAAAAAAGAACATCTCAGCTGAGGAGCCGCTGGTCTCAGCAACCAACAGGCCCCAGGGCAATCCTTTGACCATCCCTAGTGCCCGTTTGTTGCCTCCACCAGCGAACTCGAGAACAATGGTTGCTTACAGGTATTTATAACAATGCTTAAAGGTGTGAAAGTTAGTGTCCACACCTCCGTGAGTGGTCTTCTGGTGAGTTCAATGTAACTCCGAATGGCCCTTAGTCAATATCAGTTGTTGTGTAAGTATTACATGCATGTATTTCAGTTGATTATATTACATCAAATAAAATCATAACTGTACATTGGTATTATTCTATTACAGTTGCAGAATTACAGTGGTTTTACAATATTGTCATTACTTTATTGATTACAGTTTCAGAATTATGGCTGTATTCTGGTGTACACTATATGCATTTTATTAATTTTATGAACCGGGTCGTTAGTTATTTCTAATATCCTACAAGGTACACTCCTACAGCTTTATAGTTGAGTATGTGGATTCAGTCTCAAGGTTGTTCCTTTGTCTTCTAGATCTGCTGATCTTTAGTTCTCTCACCGCCGCATATTGGATGTTTGATTCGTTTTGATCAGCCTAACAAAAAAAGAAAAACCACAATATTGTACTTTACAGACAATAAAACAGTGTCCTGAACCACTATTGTGCCTACTTGTTTGAATGATAGAACAACAGTAATCTTACCTCTGCATTTGGTGTGAAGGGAGCTGAATATCTTGCATGAGACTCTGAAGAAGAAAGAAAAGTGCCGACACTATAAGAACGTGTGAAGTGAGCGCACACTGTCAGACACACAAAATAGTTGTTACAATACCTGTAACTTCACAGCGGTTTCTCTTGTTCATCATGCAAAGTAAGAAAACCAGAAAGACATTAAGGATGATGGTAAAAGTTAGAGCTCCACTCAAGAAATAGATACGAGAGTCCTTCTCATCTGTAGAGAAAAAAAAACAGGAGACATTACACAGCTTAAGTCTTTGGGGGAGATACAACAGTTGAATAAAAAAGGTAAAAATGATAAATATTACATATATGATATATGTATATATGATTTTTATTGAATTTAGAAGTATCTATTGTTGTCTATTGTTATACTGTCTACTGTTACGCACCAACCGCCAAGTCAAATTCCTTGTATGTATGACATATTTTGGCAATAAATGTTTCCTGATTCCTGATTTTACTGAATATATCAGGGGTCTCAATTTCCGGCTGGCGGGCCACCGCCGGGGGTGTCCGGTGTGGCCCAACATTGGCGTACCGGCCCTCGTCGACCGTACCGTTTGCTGGTCGGACCGTTAGCGCTGTCCCCACCATCTGGGCAGATTTGAGTTTGAGACCCCTGGACTATATGAATAGGAATAAATAACAAAACCTCCCATTGAAGTGACTTACCTTCAAAGTCCAGCATGGTCCCGTTTCCAAACAGAATGTGTCCACACGAGGCAACAGCACAGTAGTAGGTTCCAGCATGAGACAGATTCAGGCTCTCCATCGGCAAGTTGTAGTCACAGGTGTGTGTTTGTGTGTTGGCTTTCCTCTCACACTGATCAGTGCTGCCTCCATCAGTGTAAATGAGTGCTGGATGAGATTCTTCAGAGTCTTTGAACCAGTAAACACTGTGTTGACCATCACAGGTCCCAGTTTGTACTGTACAGTTCAGAGTCACAGAGCCTCCTGTCTGGATGGTCTCTGATGGTGACTGATGGAGCAAAGCCGGGACGGTCCAACCTGAACCCTGCACACTGACCACGGTGCCCTCGGCAAAAGTCAACAGAAATGAAGTCCTATGTGCACAGTAGTAAGTTGCTGAGTCTGAGAATTTCAAATCAATAATTGTCAAATGATTTTGACAGTTTTCCGTATCCAGTGTGAAGCGTGGATTGTTCTCAAATTCATGATGAAAATTCCCATTTTTGGTGTGCTTATAGAAGGAGGAGATCAGCTTTGGTTGTTGTCCCAACATTTGCTTAAACCAGTAAAGCCATTCTCCAACATTTTTCTGATAGAAACATTCCAAAGTAATTTTGTCTCCAACCCCAACTGATGTAAAACCTCTTTCTTGATGCACAGGTGACGACAATTTTAGATCAGTTGAATGAGCTAAAGTGAGAAGAGATACCAAGCAATTATAATTATTCTATACAGTATAAATATATGTATACATACAGTATATAATGTACACATTTCCAACAAACAAAAACACGTCAAGTCAAAAAGCTAAAATGTGAAGAGATACCATCAAAATGTATTTATTTATTTATTTAATAAACTGTATATATTCCTTAAGTGTAAGTGTAAAAGACTAACAAATTGTAGCACTTAAATTGTACTTATAATGCCACATCTGTAGCAAATTGGCTTATTTAATAAAATTAAACTTTCTTGTTTCTTGCTCTGAGTTTGTAACCCTGTGGTTAAGTCGCTTTGAATAAAAGCGTCAGCTAAATGACATGCAATGTAAAAGTGTATGTATGTACATTATATAAATGAAATGAAAGAGAAAAGCATTTTCATGAAAAGTTACTTAGCCAAACGAAGAACCAAGAACTTACTTTTATAACTTAAATGCATGGTTATGTATGTACAGTATATAAAGATAAGCATTTCCATGAAAAGTTATAAAACAAAAACCCAACTCACCCATTTTCCACAAGAACAACCATGTCACATAGACGGCAAACCTTGGAGATGTCATCGTGTTCAAATTCTCGACTTGAATGAAGATTATCTTAAGACTTTCTCCACTCTTCAGAGACAGACTGTGTTTGATTGGCCAACCTGATGTGACTCTGTGTACGTCCTACTGAGGAAGCACTCTTCCTTACATCTAAAGCGTAAAGTTACGTTCAAAAGATTTCCATGGTGAGAGAAGTGTCTGTAGAAGCATTGGCTCTCTATCGTTGTATTTGTAGGAACCATTTGGGAAAAATAGATCCCAGGTATATACAATATTATTGCAGGTTGACATTGTGGAATAAAGAACCCGTCCATTACAAGACTTTGTGGACTGTTACAAAGAACACACGCACTCAGTGGATTTAATGCTTATTGAATTTATTGATTATTGTAGATATTGAAAGCCAGGCAAGCTGTTTTTATTATTAGTTCCCCTCTCTTATTGTCCTCATGTTTTTTTCAATGAATGGGGGTGAATGATATGTTATGACCCCAGACCTCTGCTTTGTCTCCTCTCCAAGGCACACTTTTATGGTTCTGGGAGATAGCAAGGATTAATTAGTAGAGGGGAGTAAAGAGAACAAAATCAGAAGTTTACACTTGATATTATACATATTATAAAGTATAACTATAAAGAAATATAATTGATATTGGTATTTTAGGAATTTGTGACGTGTGTTCTTCTGGCCGAGGTAATTCATTTGCATAAAAGGGACAGAATACCCACTGTTGTGGTCCTGCTCAGTTGTAGGCCCACATGCAGAGAAGCAGCTTGGAAATAGAAAAGTTGCAGATGTCACCTTATTGCTCCCACTCTGCCTAGTAATGTATGTTGTCTTAATTGATGGTTGAATTAAACACCTGGGAGGAGATATGCACTCAAGCTCTGTGTTAGTCATGCTACTTCGTAACCCCAGCCACTGTTAAGGCCATCGTAACAGTGTGTTAATGTTATTTGTCAAGGTAAAGTAAATTTCACGTTGTAATGGTAACAATTCTAATCACGTTATAAGGTTGGGAAACTGTTGCGGACGGGCTTAAAAAAAATAACTGACCGTCAGAAAATTAGCACAACAGAGCCAGGGCAGGATTGCTTTTCTATCCTGGAAATTACATAAGCATTTCATGTTAAAGAAAGAGAAGGGAGAACGGAATATAACTGTGCAGTGCGACTTCTGCTTGCCAGCAACCACCTCCTTTCAGTGTCCAAAGACACTAGTAAGTTTATTTTTTTAATTGGCCAAGGGTATCATCTGCTGTAGTTTCACTGGTCACCTTGCTATTATATATTTGTATTAGCCAGATGTGCGACTTTACATTCTCCTATGTGCTGATATACGAGCAAGAAACATCACCTTTGTTAGCCTAGCACCAGAAGTTGGTTGATGAGGAGACCAACATTCATTTGTGCATCTGAAAACATCCCAGGTCTCCTTGCTAGATCTCGTACCATCTCCTTCATTCACATCGCTCATGGCGTCCACCTTAATACCGTCTTTAGCACTTGTCTAATTTGTAGAACGGATTTCGTGAGTTTTTTGTTTGTTTATTTTTCAGGAAACGTCAGACCAGTTCCGTAGTAATCTTTTCAGCGGCACTCATGTTGTGGTCAATTTATTACCAAATAACGTTGGGGGATAGGACAAACACCGTCATCACCTGCGTGTCTGATGCGGCAGCCGTTTGGCGATCAGCACTGCACGGGCACTAAGCGGAGGAGGAGGGAGGTGAGGGGCGGGGCTAGTGAGCTCCACGGAGCAAGTTTGGAGTGAGATTCTCACAAGAACTCAAATAAATACCCCGTCAAAACACACTTGGGGGGAATTGATGACCGAGAGTAATTTTTATTTTAAATATTGATGAATGAAGAAAAAAGTGGGCTCCAGCAGAAGGGGCACTTTTCCCATCCAGGGCAAAAGGGCAGGTGCTTGAGCACCATTACGGGTCTATCTGTGCACGTGCCTGGATCTCGGTGCATTCAATGTAATAGTGTAGTGTGTCTCTACAACAGCGGTTTGTAGAATTTATGGCTCCAACATAGCTATTTTTTCCATTTAGCTAGCTATGTCATGACAAAAAAAAGAAGATGCACCATTATGCTGCATTGGCTGTCTTGCAACACAACAGACAGACCCAAGCATGTAGGGAAGAAAAGTGTGAAGCATTGATGATGAGACGTCCTGCTTGTGAGCCCTGAAACAAAGACACAAGATGTTTCCTCCATACACTTGGTTTGCGCACAACGTGCAAAGAATATTCTGCGGTTTCTTTGTTCCCTCTGTGTATGTGATGTAAGCCATCAAGGGCTGGTTAGAATTGTGGAAACTTTCAGAGCATATGACAATTCGATTTTACACAACCATAGTTGTCATTTTAGTTTTTAGCTCTGTGGCAAAAAAAATAAGGACGGTAAACGCAACAACCTCTCGTGACCTATTTGCTTTACTCTGCCCTGCTACCCCCGCTGCATTATTACTCATTTTATAGGGCTTCCCTCACAAAATGGCTTCTCTTTGCTCTTGATTTGTTACTGTGCCAGTCTTCCTCCGTTCAAACTAGGAGTGAAGTTTCCACCAGCAGAAACCTATTTACCGTTGTTCACACCTTTTTTACAGCAGCAGTCAGAACGAAGTAATGCACAGAGGTGGCTAGTTTGAAGGTTGCATGCCCCGCTTACATTTCTGGTTGGAATAAGTTATTAATAGACCAGAGGGGATTTTTGAGCATGTTCAGCTGATGTCTGCATCCAATGCTGCATGGCACGGTTTATTTTCATGTCAAATCTTTACATTAAATAAATATAAAACAAACATGAATCACATATTTATGAAAGACAAATAAAGTAATGTCTTTGTACAGGAGAACAAACCCCAACTATTAAAGTGTAAAAGCATTTTATTATTCCTTTTTAAAATAAAATGTACAATTGTCCATTGACTGACCTTAGTACAAATGAGGAAGCGCTATGTTCACTTGTTCATATTTATAGATGTATGCATGTTTCACAGAGTTTCTCGATGTGTTTTGAACTTGTCTGTGTACCAGCACGCAGAAAGAACGCTTAAATATATTTCATTCTACACATTACTGGCTACACCAGAACCCCAGAGATAGTGTCCATTGACCTTCTATGCTGTATTTTGTTTTCAGATTGATAGCTGATTGATTTGGAAATCGGTACCCTCTAATAAAAAATGACCGTTAATTGCTGGCAGACAGTTCTAAGTGAAAAAAATGTGAAATGGGGGCCAATCAGCGTCCTGTGAGGACATTACTGCTACTACTGCTGATGCTACTGACAGTTATGGAGGAGGTTTAGCTGAGTGTGATGCAACATTGAGTCGACTCTTTGTCCTTTCAAAACAAAAATGGCAGAGAGTTTGATAGATAGTTTCACAAAGTATCTAATGGTTTAGTGTTACACTAAGGGGGGGAGGAAGAAGATGACTATGTAAATTCAGCTAATTTTGGTAAATGATGATAATAGATGGCATGGATTTTTAGATTATTTAATTTAATCCAAACCATTTGATTATGTCCATTTCATTTCAGACACCAGCCGTAAAGCAGAGTAAAAGGACAGCCTTGGAAGAACTCTTTGAAGAGGAGGACCGTGAGCTGCAGTCCCTGCAACAACAGCAGCTCCCTGGGTCCTTGGCCCAGAGAGTCCATCAAGAGGTCCAGCTGTACAAAAGCCTGCCCTCCATCCCCTCTACAAATAACGCCACCCTTTGGTGGTGGGACAAGAGAAACACTTTACCCCTGCTGGCAGGTTTGGCTGAGTCATATCTTTGTGTTCAGGCATCCTCCACCACCCCATCTGAGAGAGTGTTCTCCACGGCTGGAGACACAATAAGTCCAGAGAGATCGCGTATCCTCCCGGAGAAAGCAGACATGCTTATTTTTCTGCACAAGAATTGTTGATGATCCATACAATTGATGGTTGCACACTTTTGCACACACACAATTTTTGGCAGCTCAGTTCATATACTGTCACGGTGTGGTTCACTTCCTGTTGTATTTTGTAGTTTTCTGCCACTCGTGTCCCCGGGTAACTTCACTTCCTGCCTTGTCCCGTCATCCCCCTGTGATTGTCTAATAGTTTCCACCTGTGTCCAATCACCTGCACCTCCCTTGTGTATTTAAGCCGTGTGTCTCTTGTGTCACTTGTCGCGTCATTGTCTTGTGCCACGCATGTCCTTGTCTCTTGTTGTGGATGTCGGTAGTTTCTTGCCTGCTGTTTTTCCTCCCGGTTCCTGTGTTTTTGACCTTTGACTATTAAAGTCCTTTTGTTCCTGCAAGTCTGCATTTTGAGTCCTGCCTTCCACCCTTATCCCTGACAGAATGACGCGACCAAAGAAGGACTCAGCAGAGTTTTTTCCCCTGGAAGACTTCAGGGGAACCCGTCTGGCAATGGGCGGTCCACGCAATCTCCAGCGGGCCGCCCGTAATGGGGGAAAGGTCCTCCCGGGGGTTCCAGCTGGGTACCTGTACTACTCCGTCTCCCCATCTTGAGCCCTCAGTAGGCATCTGGGTCACCATCCGCCGCCCACCACATGGTCCCCAGAGGAGGAGGCCATTTCGTGGTCGTCCGGCGGCGATTCTCACTGGGAGCGGGTAATGAACCTTGCGGTCCGACTCCAGGCCACCTATGCTCCCCACGCTCGGCCGCAGCGCACAATGTCCAGCGCTGGGCCGCAGCGACGTCCCGACCCAGGGGAACCCGTCTGGCAATGGGCGGTCCACGCAATCTCCAGCGGGCCGCCCGTAATGGGGGAAAGGTCCCCCCCGGGGGTTCCAGCTGGGTACCTGTACTACTCCGTCTCCCCATCTGGAGCCCTCAGTAGGCATCTGGGTCACCATCCGCCGCCCACCACATGGTCCCCAGAGGAGGAGGCCATTTCGTGGTCGTCCGGCGGCGATTCTCACTGGGAGCGGGTAATGAACCTTGCGGTCCGACTCCAGGCCACCTATGCTCCCCACGCTCGGCCGCAGCGCACAATGTCCAGCACTGGGCCGCAGCGACGTCCCGACCCCGCTCGGTCGCAGCGCACAA